GTCAGTTCTGAAAACAGCTATTATATTATCAGCATGATATTGTTCTATAAAAAGCTGTTTTACGAATTTATTAATACGCGCAGCAGGATTACAGATTCATCCGACGCGAACGATGACAAGAAATGGGATGCCTCGCATTTTTTTTTGCGCCCATAGCAAGGCTACCCTCCGGAAGCGGGGGAGGGAGGTGGTGAATGCTCATAACATACCACGCAGCCGGCTGCGTGGTTATATGGGACTCACTATGGAGTACCTACGTACTAAACATCACCTGTGGGACTGGCTTTGGCCTGTAAGTATGGCCTTTCTACCGAATCGGAAGCGACCTCCTTTAGAGAAAAGGGGGCGCAGACCGATGCCTCGCACTAAGTCACGGCATTTTTATACCTCCGCCGCGATTGGAATGTTAGTCCACGCGCGGTTCGTTTCCAGGAAATGAACAATACAAAAAATCCCTTTCACTGATATTTTATGACCAATCACATGTTAAATAATGAGATTTTTATTCGATGTTGTAATTTTAAGACTGTAAAGATTTTATTTTAATGTACACATTTTGATTGGTCAAAAGCTTTGTACATTTTATTAATTTTTAGTATTTATGAGGAATCACATTTTTACAATAAATTATTCTACTCTTTCTACTCGATTCTCCAAGTTACAAGTTTTCCGTTTAAGACTCTACAACATGTACAGTGGTAACTCATAACTTGTAGAGCGCTGACCCGTAAGATCAGCAAAGTATTGACCCCGATAGGTTAGCAAAGTGGTGACCTTCGAACGAAGAACTCTGAAGAAGAAGAACAAGTTGAATCTCTGCTCGAAATAACCCAGGAAGAAAATCGTCGGAATGTCCACAAAGGAAGATTCAAAGAACATCAGCGAAGACTACAACCTACAAGACTACTAAAGACACCAGCAAGTCCACGGAGGTGTCAAGCATTGCGCTTTCAATGCGCATTCCACCTTTCTGGCGTGAAAATCTATGGCTCAGGTACATGACTTTCTCACTAGTTACAAGTTTTCTATTGAAGACTCCACAAAAAAATGTGTAAAGTGGTAACTCATAACTTTTATACGAGTATTTTCGCGCGAAAACACTACGCCCCACGCTTTTCAGCTCGTGACGTCACTGCGCTACTAAATAAATAGATTTTGCATGGGTATAAGATATTTTTGGATGTTTAATAACCAGTTATTACCTTAATCATTGGTGTGTTGTGCCTGAATGCAATTCAAGTGCCAACTGATTTAAATATGACTTGGTTAAAACTGGCAAAAAGAGATTCAAAGATATTGTATACAAAAAGTAGACTATACTTCTGTCAAGATCACTTTGATGTAAGTTGACTTATATTAAAACTGTCGTTTATATAACACAAAAACTCACGAGGTGATAGGCATTGTAAGTCAAATTTTGTAATAGATTAGATTATCTTAGATGTAACTAATGATTGTTATTAATATTTTCTGGAACAATGTTTAGTCCATGAGGGCATCCACTTTCTCTGCCACCAGAGCGGCGCCACTTTGGATTGAGGTAAAATATTTGACAGATTTCATAGCGGGCAAGGCAAAAAAATAAAAAGCAAGCCACTGTGACTCTCTCTAATAATACTCTATAAATTCGCTTTTTTTTTGGAACTAACTTCTCATTCTCAAATAAATGACATTGTGTAATAAAAAAAAACTTCACCTCAGTCCCAACTAGTGACATCTTTTGAACGGAAGATTACTAGCCTTCATGGAAGCTTAAATTAATACTTAACGTTTTACAGAGTAGTGACCTGTAAAGAGACAGTATAAATGATTTTCACTTATTCACATTGCTTTTAACATTCGAATTTGTTATAAATAAATAAAACCGTTATTATTCATTAAATATGAGCCGTTAGAACTGGCGGCTGCTAACTTGACTAAATGAGTTTACAAACAATTTATTAACGGTTCAACGATTTTAAATTATTTGTAACTAGCTGTTCCCCGCCACCGCCTCGCCCGCGTTCGCACGCATGTAATTTAGGTTTTTAATTTTTTTTTTCGCGCGGAACACTAATTCTTTTTCTTAAATAAAAGTAGCCTAAGTTACTTCTTATAACATCTGCTGTCTGCCAGTGAAACTCCCATCAAAATTAGACAGACAGACAAAATTTTTAAAAATTGTGTTTTTGTTGTAGGTACCGTATATACTTTCATATGCATTTAGTGAAAAGCTGTTATTTTGATATTACAAACAGACACTCCAATATTATTGGTATAGATAATTTAATTTGTTACAAATGAAACCGTTTTTACACATTGAAAAGCAAATTGTTAAAACTGACTAATGCTAACTTGACTAAATATGATTACGATTAATTTACTAGGCAAGTTTTTACAAAAATTTACTTCGCAAATATTCGCGTTATAAAATAAAATGATGTGTCTTACCTAGTATGAAAAGCACCTCCCGCCCTCCCTCCATTGCGTGCACTATCCCCGTCACGGTTTTATAACGCGGATATTTGCGAAGTAAATTTTTGTAAAAACTTTTATATAATGGATTTCCGCAAAGTAACGCCTGATTCTATTAATTATAATTTACTAGGCTTTTAAATTACGCCTTATTAATAACAAATAAATTTGTTTTAAACAATTAAAATTGGTATTTGCCTCTTAAACAAAGGGATGTGGGCTGACAGATATAGACTTAATGAGTTGGGACATGTTTCAGAACTTTTGAGAATAATTTACAACAATGAGGGCTAATAACCTTCCGCTCACCAGATGTCGCTAGTTGACACTAACGTGAAGTTTTTTGTTACACAATGTCACTTAATTGAGAAGTTAGATTTAAATAAATGTTTATCAGTTTCGAGAGTTATCATATAAACCGTTTCCCGGTCCCATGAATCATATATGAACATTTCAATTGTTTAACTATTGTGTCTATTTCGCGGACAGGAAACCTGTTAATACACAAAACAATGCCTCAGTGGTTTGCTCTTTAATTTTATTGCACATTTTTAACGTCTTTTTTAATTGTTCTACTTTTATGACATATGCCAATCATTATATATATATATATATATATATATATATATATATATATATATATATATATAATGATTGGCATATGTATATATCATTATTTGAAAGCCAAACATATAATTTTTCACACACAGGTAACTTATCTTCTGTATTACCGAGCCATTAAAGTTAGGTAAACGTAGGTAGATAAAAAATAATAGAACATTATTCAATATTTATTATCATTTAATCCTTATATACAGTCATTAAATAAGGTTGAAGTTGACATTTTTTACTTATCTAATATAACTTTAAACGGAAATCTCGGAAACGGCTGCCAACGATTTTTATGAAATTTAGTACGCAGGCGGTTTCGGGGGCGATAAATCGATATAGCTAGGAGTCATTGCTTTCAGACAATGTAAAACTGTTACAATATCATTACAAGTGAATAATAGTTCAGGTGCGAAATCGGGCGGTCCCGAAACCTGAAAACCCCGGTTCGAGTACAGTGTCTCCAGGCTGGTTATTTTTCCCCTTTTTTTTTTCAAGTTCCTTCTTTTGTGAGAAAAACTATTATTGGGAGCCCTTTCTTAACGCATCTAAATTGTATCTAAGTAAAAAACAAAACACTAAAAAATGACCGACCTTTAAAAACAAGAATACGGTAATAATTACATTAGTAAAGGAACCAACATTGTGCAAATATTTTCATCTTATTGGCGATGTTTCGGTACAAAGATAAAAGTCAAATCAATAACTCTTTATAGATAATCACCTTAAACATAAACTGAAAAATATGACTTCCTGACATCTATTGGCGACTAATAATACTATTATTTTTTAATTGAAATATAATTTCCAAAAACACGATTTCCAAAAAAAAAACTGATTACATTAATATTCAAACAAAGTACATTTAGTATTGCTGAATTCATATAAGTGCATATTATTATGATTTAAACAAAATAAGCGTGTATATAGTTCGTGATACATAATTATAAATAGGCGACATTAAAATAGTTATTACTACAGCAACTCATAAGGTAATTTTTTTAATGTAGAAACATTGTAGTAATATTTAGTACGTACGAGAACAGACACTGCGAAAAAAAATTTTTGTGATAGTTCGGAAGGGGCACAGAGTAAACTCATTTTTTTGGCGGTGACTAAGTAAGTTTTAGTCTGTGGGCTCTAATGCATATTTCATCCAACCGGAGTTTTGGCGGGAACTTTACCGGCGGCGGTTTGCTGCTCCTGTATTATAGTTTAAATAATAGTTTGAAGTGGATTTTGATATGTAAAAGTGGTGCGATTTTATGTATTAACTGTCTACGCATGTGAACTATTAGTGGAAACGGTGAAACAAGTGCTCTGATGGTGATGGATTCTCAAGATAAGCTGTTTGTCTGCATAGGCGCCTTTAGATACCATCGCCAACTGTCAGCTGTCTGCTGGCTCAAGTTGCCGTCAAAATCTCCCAAGGGCTGCACAATGTGACGCATCAACATATTGTGAAGCAGTGAACTATGAAGGATAATTATACATTTGGGAAATTATAATAAACCGAATAAAAATACTCAAGACTTGGCCTAAAGGTCTAGATACCAGGCCATAAACTCCAAAAAAAAAAATTTCATCCAACCATATCTTAGGCGTATACGTAGTAGTCCATATTAGTTTAATGTATAGAAACGCACAGTTTCAAAACCCCTGAAACAAAACAGCCGATGACCTTGAAACGGCTGACCACACACAGACACACAGACAGACAGACACACCTAGCAATCAAACTTGTAACATCTTTCTACGCATGTCTAGCACATTATTGCAGGGAGGGGAGGGGGGGGGGGTTGATAATACATAAAGTATGTTTACTTTTTCTTGGAAGTAATATAAACAAAAACTATAACTTAATATAGCATGATCAAATGATTTGTTTCCATGTCTTTAACTTCTATATCGAAGTCATAAGAGTCAAATTAGCTTGGCTATGTGAGTTTCTTTTCAAGCGGCTCCACCTCTTCGGTGACCTCCGCGGCGAGGTCCGCGAACTTGGCCACGTAGTCCATACTCGACTCCGCCATTAGAGATTGTAATTGAGAGTCCACCTGTGACACAAATTCATTTTAGGAAATAGAAACAGTGGTGGAATTTAGTAACAAGTCGCGAGCAGAGGAAGTAAGAAAGTAACATTTATTTGGGCAACACACACAATATGAAACATAGAAATTCGTAGTACAAATTGGTAATATGGCTGTAGTGTGATGTCAAAAAGGATCCCGCCTCACTGATAATCTGTGGGGTACCACAGCACTGGTTTCCAATCGGGACCTTAATTGACGCACGAAGACATTGAAGAGTCCGTTCCCCCTGGGCACAATCTAAATCCTAAATTGAAAATATATTATTTAAAAGCCGAGGATCATAGAACGTTACACTTATGTATTACGGAACTTTTGAGGTTATGATGTAGCCATGACTACAACCTCAGCTAAAACAATTGATATGAAAACTATGCAGTAATATATACTTAACTAAATATGTCAAATCAATGGCTAAAACCACAAAAATAAATCAGTAACCTTTCTAATCTTTTCACTGCTAAGTATCTATTATATACATAATACCACAGACTGCATAGAATAACTCATAATACGTTCCGTTCTAAGTATTAATGCATTCTATATTTACTGTCAACCTATCATTTGTAACTTATTTCGGAATACTTTCCATATCCCCATCTAAAAATAAATAAAAAATCTACAGTAAAATCTAGTATTTAAAAAAAGTAAACGCAACGTAGTTTTATGATGAAACGTGTACCACAGATAAAAACTGGACGGGTTTAGATGCGTTCAAAACGTATAAAAATTAGTGAGGAAATGAGGTTTTTCATTACAAAGCTAAATTATTTTACCGGTTCCAATAAAATAAGTTGGACCCCGTAATTTGATATACACCTAAGTCACTATTTTTTGACGTATCAATCATTGGTGGTCGTTTCATATTTTGGCCAGGTCGTATTTGACCGATGTTCTTTACAATATAACATTTTATCCAATTAGTATGAAAACATTTAGAAACAGTATGGTAGCGATCACCTCATTCCAAGGGGTTATTATTGATCACGCTCTTTAGTAGTACTAGGTTGGTCACTTTTCGGAACAGGACACTTCATCATCATCATTACAGCCCTTCACAAGTCCACTGCTGAACATAGGCCTCCCCCAAAGAATGCCACAAAGCACGGTCCTGAGCCACCTGCATCCATCGACTTCCTGCATGCCTTACCAGGTCGTCACTCCATCTCGTGGGGGGACGCCCTACACTTCGCCTACCGGTACGAGGCTGCCACTCGAGAACCTTTCTTCCCCATCGGTTGTCGGTTCTTCGAGCTATATGGCCGGCCCACTGCCACTTCAGCTTACTAATTCGTTAGGCTATGTCGGTTATTCTGGTTCTACTGCGGATATCCTCATTCCTAAGTTTATCACGCAGAGAAACTCCGAGCATAGCCCTCTCCATAGCTCGCTGAGCGACCTTGAGCTTCCTCATACGGCCAGCAGTGAAGGACCACGTCTCAGTTCCGTAAGTCATCACTGGCAACACGCACTGGTTGTACAATTTCGTTTTAAGGTTTTGAGGTATGTCTGACGAGAAGATGTGTCGTAGCTTCCCGAACGCTGCCCAGCCGAGTTGAATCCGTCGATTGACCTCTCGGTCGAAGTTGGACTTACCTAGTCGGACTATTTGTCCCAGGTAAACATACTCGTCAACAACTTCGAGCTTAGTGCTCCCAACAACTACCGGCATAGGTGTGACATGGACATTAAACATAATCTTTGTTTTGTCCATGTTCATCTTAAGACCTATCCGTTGGGAAACACTATTGAGGTCATTGAGCATAGTGCTTAGGCCCTCCAGCGATTCTGCCATAAGGACTATATCGTCGGCAAATCGAAGGTGAGTGATGTACTCGCCATTGATGTTGATACCGTATCCTTTCCAGTCCAGAAGCTTGAAAACGTCTTCCAATGCAGCGGTGAAGAGTTTCGGGGATATGACGTCACCCTGTCTTACACCTCTCTGCAATTGGATAGGTTTCGTACTCTGGTTCTGTACTCGGATAGCCATCGTAGCCCTACTGTACAAGCACTTCAACACTTCGATATACCGACAGTCAATTTGGCACCGCTGAAGGGACTGCAGCACCGCCCAAATTTCGACGGAATCAAAGGCTTTCTCATAGTCCACATACGCCAGACATAGTGGCAAATTGTACTCTTCGGACTTCTGTACAACTTGCCGAAGGGTATGTATGTGGTCTATGGTGCTAAAGCCCTTTCGGAAACCGGCTTGTTCGGGAGGCTGGAAGTCGTCAAGTCTGCGCGCGAGACGATTCGTAATGACTCTCGAAAACAGCACATAGACGCGGCTCAGAAGGGAAATCGGTCTGTAGTTCTTCAAGAGAGCGTTGTCACCTTTCTTGAAGAACAAGACCACCGCACTTCTGCTCCACGCCTCCGGTGTAATGCCACCACTTATCAATGAGTTATAGAAATGTTTTCAATTTTTTTTCGTAACTTAAATTTGTTGGTAGACACGGCCAGAAAAGGCTATATTAAAATCTATACCCAATTTTTTTCAAACTTCACATTTGGCGGGAACGCGATTCGTATGCAAAGTGGAGAAATTTTCAACTTTGTGCGGTTATAAATATTTCTGCCTGAAATTTTTTTCTAGAAAAGCGTTTTTTTTTAAGTAGAACTACATCGAAGAAATTATTAAGGTGAAATCCGTTCTATTTTTTTCGTATCTTAAATTCGTTGGTAGACAAGGCCAGAAAAAGCTAAATTACTAGCTACACCCAATTTTTTTCAAACTTCACATTTGGCGGGAATTCGATTCGTGTGCAAAATGGAGAAACTTGAACGCGGGAGAAACTTGAACGCGGTTATAAATATTATATCGCGGTTATAAATTTATAAATATTATAGTTCCATTTATAATTAATAAATATTTATTCAGGTACTAGTTATTCAGTAACCAATAAGTATTTATTTATGCCCAAACAAATAAAAATTTTAAGAAGCACCACATTGAAGAAATTATTAAGGTAGATCGGCATGTGATCATCCGTTATTTAGTTGAGATTCTAAAGTTTCCGTTTGGGTCCCAAACTTTGGGAAAATTCAGTTTATTTTAACTCATACTTCAATATTCAAAAAGGTGGCCGCGTGCTGATGTCCAAAGGAAAATAAGAGTTGACGTTAAATCTTAATTTAGCAATAATTGAATGTGGGTACACCATTTTGGTCCGGAGACTAAAAAACAAAGCAGTTTATGGAAAAGACCGCCTCCCTCGCCAACTAAGAGATTCAAGGTATCTGCGTTCGCTGGAAAAGAATGGTCTTCTGGGATGCGTAAGGTATAATAATGATCGGTCATTTAAGTATAGAAGAGACAATAACCAGAGATTATTACGCATCATTAATCAAAAAACTACGCGATGAACTAAAAAATAAATGCCGAGGAAAAATGTGTGCTGGAGTGCTATTTCACCATGATAATGCTCCTGCTTATTTATTTGATATCGCAGGCGCTGTCATCTAAACTGCTGGGTTTCTGTTGATGCAGCACCTACCATATTATCCGGACCTAGTTCCGAGTGATTTTCACCTAAAAAGCACTTACATGGTATAAAACTCGACGGTGACGATGAGGTGATATCTCCTTGTGGAGGCCTTTTCGACTCTCCGAATCAATTCTTTTTTCCCAAGCGAATTAACCAAGTTGCAAAACGCTATTTAAGGTGTATTAGCTTAAAAGTCAATATAATATAAATGTTAATAATGAAAATGGTAGTGTACCGGCAGTTCGGGGTGGTGCGCGTGCGTGTCGTCGGCGTCCAGGTGTCCGAGGAAGCTGCTGAGCGAGAAGTCGTGTCCGGCCGCCAGCCAGCCGTCCGCCTCGCGCAGCAGCCGCGACGGCGACAGCGACAGCGACTCCGCCGCCAGCAGCTCCGCGCCGCCCTCCCCGCCGCCCGCCCCTGCGCACCGCCCCAACCCACTGCACTCTGCGGCTCGGCTCCACCGGCCCACCATAGTGTAACGCTCTCGCACCATCATTATCATCATTGTGGAATGCCACAACGCACGATTCTAAGCCATCTGCACCCTTCGACTACCTGCATGCATGTCTTATCAGGTAGTCACTCTAGTGGGGGAACGCCCTACACTTCGCCTACCGGTACGAGGCTACCACCCGAATACCTTACTTCCCCATCGGTTATCGGTTATTCGAACTACATGGCCAGCCCATTGCCATTTCATCATTTCATACTCATATGTTGGGCTATGTCTCACAGAATACCAGCGTAATAGCAGCTTTATACTGTGTTGTTTCGAATCTTATTTTAAAAGCTTAAGCTCGCGAACTAGTTCAAATCATGAAACACAATCGTGTTACGATCAGGCTTCCTCAGCACCATTAAGCTCAACCTTTTTTATCCGAAGACCATTTAATTAATTGTTTTACTTATTAAATATTTTTTAGAATAAGGATGACAAGCAAGCACACAATCCTCCTCTAAAAGTAGATGTTGTAACCCATAAACATCTATATCTATCCTCGATTAAGAAACAAAATACAGATGTGTTGTCACCCCTGAATACCGAGACAGAATGCCTCGTTTTCAATAAAAAAAGTCTCCGTTTCTTTCTCTACAATCACCATACGAAAGACAATAACATTAAGTTGCTATTTCACGCTGATATTCTATGAGAAAGTGGTCCTTCCCCGTTCGGATCGATCCATTCGTGCACATAGCACATGCAGCCCATTCTACCGAAAAAAACTTCGGTTCAATTTAAACTGACGTAGTTTCGAATCTGATTTTAAAAACTTACTCCCAAATCAATTCAAATCAATAAATACAATTCAATTATGATATATAAGAGCCTTTAGGCACTTCCGGATATATTTTTTTATCCGGAGATCATAATACTAACTCTAGGCCAATTAGTGACGTTATGTATAAAAAGTTGGAAGCGACTTATATTAAGTATGGCATTTGGAACCAAAAAAGCTAACAGAAAATAGGTCACAATTTCAAATGTACATCTCGATGCGTAATAGAATATAATACGCTGTTAGGTTATTTGCGATGAAGTTTCTTTCATTTTGTGATTTTGTTAGAAATATTGTTCCATGTACTCAACATCTCTTGATGTAATAATTGTGTAAATGTTTTATTTGCATTCATTGCAAGGTAACAACTAGAACGTTATTTATAAACATATAATTAACAACAATATAAACATCTAAAAATATTTCATATTTTGATATATCTCCAAAGTTCAATGTTTCTAAAGTCAGATACCACAGTTTTGGAACGAAGTTCCTTATCGGACGGTACGAATTAGGCATATGGGTGCTAGGCGAGAAAAGTGTAAGATTTTTCCGCTACGACCACTTCTGACGTAGTGTAGACGGCCGTGACGGCTAGAAGGAAGCGAGATGGAATAACATCCATCTCCCTCGCACTTTTTCTTATCTTACCATGAAAGAAATATTATTTTATTTTAAACGACGTTTCATTTTAATAGACGCTAGTAATTCATTTATTTGTATTTGTCAATCAATAATATAATACGTTTATCAATAATAATATACTACGAAAGGAACTTTGTTCCAACCGAGTGTTCCACGACACTGACGAGTGTATTTTTTAGAAATATCTCTTTCTGTGTGTGTACATTTATGGCTAATTCTTTTTTCGCATATTTCGAAAAATATATCGAAGTCGGATATAAAAATATTTAAAAATAAAATAGGGTTTTCTACATATGTAGCATTTGTGTACATAAATCATTTATTATGTCACAATAATAGTGTAAAATTAACTCACTGGTAATATCTGAGTTTTCAGTTTTGAGCGTGCTGGGTTTAGACGCGTCACTTGTCACGGAGGTATCTTGGGATTGCGGCATCGGTTTGGCCACCTCTGTGCTGGATATATCCATTTTGTATTCTTTAACATCCTCATCTTCCGTTAGCTCCTCCTCTGTGAAGTAAGTTGCTAAATAGCCAAAACTGACAAACGAACTTTTTGTATATATAAGAGGGGACAAGCCAGCATGCGGCTCACCTGATGGTAAGTTACTACCGCCGCCCATGAAGAACTGCAACACCAGGTATTGTAGGTCCATTGCGGGCCTTTTAAAAAGAGTGGCCTCTAGTTTTGAAGGTCCTTAAGTCGTAGCGATCCGGTAACATCACTGGTGGTAAGGTAAACTTTTTTATAGGATAGGGTGACAAACAAGCACACAGTCCACCTGATGGTAAGTAGTTGCTGTGACCCATAGACATCTACATGTATCCGCAATAAAGAATCAAAATGCATATGCGTTATCACCCGTGAGGACTAAGATGGAAAGCCTCTTTTCCAGTAAAAAGGGTGTCCGGTTCTTTACACTCACCACGCGAAACACAGCAGTGTTGACTGCTATTATACGCTATTATTCTGTGAGATATTGGCAGAATAGATTCGTCGAGCTATGTCCTTATGTTCTATTCATATATGTATATGCTAAATGTACAATACAAAACTTTCCTATAATGGAGAGGTAATTTTCAGGGGTGAACTGTAAGGACCTGGAAAATAATGTTTTTATTTCAAACTAAACTTCATACCTTCCTGATCTTGCTCCTCGGTACCGTTGCCAGGCAGCGGTGTGATGGGGATTCTTCGATCGCCATCGTGGAAGAAGAACTGTCCATTGGACTCGCTCAGCACGTAGAAGAAGGACAGACTGCAAAGAATATTATTTTTATCTTTACCTTTATTTCAAAAAACGTTACTTTCACAGTATCACGATACTGGTACATGATACACTAGTATCATGTACCAGTATTGTGAGGTTAAAAAAGTAATTTTTATTACCATTTATAATCAGGTAGGATTTTAGTCATGCACTGGCTTATAATAAGTATACATATGATAAGGCAGAAACTTCAGGAAGGTACTTACTCGGAAGTGGAAGTTGGAGGAGGCTTCGGTAGTATTTTTGGTGGCGCTGGTGGTGAGTTGGGAACGATCTTCACTGGGATGAGATCTATTTGAAATAAATAAAATTAATAAAAAGAAATCATTGATTACAAAATTCAAAATTGCATCCGCTACACTGCAATAAAGCCAAACCGGCCGATTTAAAAATTAATTAAGTATAATAAAGTCCTTCAGACGGATTTAATATAATAAATTTGCGTTTAATTTTACTTATTTTTAATTCGCGATGTTTCTTTCATTAGGTTTTTATGTCAAGAAATTCTCAATAGCAGCCCGGTGCTGGAAGTTGGCGGTGTTTCGTCCCCGTGACTCGGTCCAGGTTGTCCTGCACCTGATCTCTATCCGGTCGTATTAGATTACATTGAACTATGAGAGTGAGTGAGAGGACATTATACAGTCTCAAAACGTCCCACAGCTGAGCTGGCTGCCTCAGTTAGGTCGCCGCACTGCTCCAATGCATGTAGCACACTTCAAGTCTTATTTACTTACTAGCTGTTCCCCGCGACTTCGTTCGCGTGTTAGGGTTTTTATGTTTCTGCGCGGAACCCTGATTCTTTTTCTAAAATAAAAGTAGCCTAAGTTACTCCTTATGAAATCAGCTATCTGCCAGTGAAAGTCCCGTCAAAATCGGTCCAGCCGTTTCGGAGATTACCCGGAACAAACAGACAGACAGACAGACAGACAAAAATTTTAAAAATTGTATTTTAGTTATAGGTATCGTATTTACTTTCATATGCATTTAGTAAAAAACTGTAATTTTGACATTACAAACAGACACTTCAATTTTATTTATTTGTATAGATTATCGGCAATTGCAGTTATAGTTCTTGCAATTCACGAAGTCGAGCCTTCGTATAATGTTACATTATTTAATCTGTGATCGAACGGCCATTACTCGTAGTTGAACGGGTACATGCACATTGCGATAGTGTGCATTTCTGACGGAGCGATCAGTTGTGGTGTGTTTCTGACGGTGCGATCAGTTGCGATAGTGTGCGTTTTTGAGGGAGCGATCAGTTACAATTGTGTGAGTTTCTGACGGAGCGATCAGTTGCGATAGTGTGCGTTTTTGACGGAGCGATCAGTTACAATTGTGTGCGTTTCTAACGGAGCGATCAGTTGCGATAGTGGAATATAAAATAAGTTAATATACGCGATAAAATCCGTAAAATTAGTTTTATTTAAATGCGATAGTGTGTGTTTCTGACGGAGCTATCAGTTGCGTTTTGACAGAGCAATTAGTTACGGTTGTGTGCGGTTCTGAAGAAGCGATCAGTTGCAATAGTATGCGTTTCTGATGGAGCGATTAGTTGCGAGAGCGTGTCGCTGTCGTCGCTAACCATACCCGCTTTTGGTCTTATGCACACTAACGTAAATAGATACGGGTTTACTAAAAGTAAAGCCTACTCGGCTTCCTGAATAAGGGCTACTAATCTTACGCTCACCAGATATCGCTAGCTGGGACTGGGGTGAACTTATGTGTATCGATCGATGGTAGAATAGATTAGTCGACGTCGATCGAACTATCGTACGCATACACTACATGCGCAAATCCCACTCGCACTTGGTCAGTTATTTCTTTACTTATTATCGGCAATCACAGTTACGAGCACTAGAGTAATACGGGAGTGTGTGGTCTACAAGTAATGGAAAGAGTGTGGACCAAACATTATGTATACTACTGGATCGGCAATTCTGAATAAAAACTGTGTCACAGCTGCAGATGACGCAGGCCCCGGCTGAACGTCTAACTGGCACGGTAAATATTTTTTTATATTATAAGGTTGACAAACGAGAGAGTACACACTTCACCTGATGGTAAGTGGACGCTGTGGCCCATAGACATCTACATTTATCCTCAATTGAGAATAATAATGCTGATGCGTGAATGCGTTGTCACCCCTGAGGACTGAGATGGAATGCCTCGTTTCCAGTAAAAAGGGTTACGCTGTTGTATTGCACGCCTCATTATGCGAAAGTAATTAGGTAGTGCTTTACTCTCGACTCGTCAAGGTTACGCAGTTTTGTGTTCTTAAAATGCCTCTATCATAACTAAATTGTACTTATACGATAATACCAGTAGCCGTATATCAAGAAAATAATCTAATAAATCCATCTTATATTTTCTAAAAAAAAAACATGTTATATTGCTACTTTGAAAAAAAAAACGGTTTGGAAAAAATTTTAAGTGGACGTTCGGATGATGATTTTGTATGTGGTCACGATAAATCCCGAAAAAAATTACGTATCCGGGCCGGGGCTTTTTTATTACTTTCGGAATTACATGAACTGGTTCCCTCATCATCATCATCATTACAGCCTTTCATAAGTCCACTGCTGAACATAGGCCTCCTCCAAGGAATGCCACAAAGCACGGTCCTGAGCCACCTGCATCCATCGACTTCCTGCATGTCTTACCAGGTCGTCATTCCATCTCGTGGGGGGTCGCCCTACACTTCGCCTACCGGTACGAGGCTGCCACTCGAGAACCTTTCTTCCCGATCGGTTGTCGGTTCTTCGAGCTATATGGCCGGCCCACTGCCACTTCAGCTTACTAATCCGTTGGGCTATGTCGGTTACTCTGGTTCTACTGCGGATATCCTCATTTCTAAGTTTATCACGCAGAGAAACCCCGAGCATAGCCCTCTCCATAGCTCGCTGAGCGACCTTGAGCTTCCTCATACGGCCAGCAGTGAAGGACCACGTCTTAACTGTTTCCCTAATTCATATCAATAGCATAGTACGCGTAGTTTGTTAGTTAAATCGTTATTAACTTTCATAAGTTTTATTGCTATTAAACATTTAAAGGCACTTTCGTATTTTTTTTAGCCCTTGATAGACAAAGTACAAACATACAGCCTATATCAATTTGTTACTTTGTGTAATCGATTTATTTTAATAAACATACCTGTTAAAATAATAGAGCGCTAATGTTTTTTTTAGGATAAGGGTGACAAACACTTGCTCGACACAGTCCACCTGATGGTAAGTGGTTGCTGTGGCCCATAGACATCTACATTTATCTTCAATTACGAATGAAAATGCAGATGCGTTGTCATCCGTGAGGACTAAGATGGAATGCCTCGTTTCCAGTAAAAAGGGTCTCCGGTTCTCTACACTCGCCATACGAAACACAGCAGCCTTAAGCTGCTATTTGACGTTGGTATTCTGTGAGAGCGTGGTCCTTCTCGGGTCTAGTCGACCCATTCGTGCTACAACTATACCAGAAATATAGCTGCAGCATGGCTCTATCACGCATAATATATATATATATATATATATATATATATATATATATATATATATAAAATTTAAAACACGTAAATACTTTTAAAAGTCAGCAATACAATTTTTTTCATCAAAATTAAATGAAAAGCTCATGGGGCGCGCACTTTTAGATTTTTCAAACTAATTTCATTTATTCCAGTTACGGTTTTAGATAAATATGAAATCAAGTTACATAGTTTATCTGAAATAAAATTCAAATCACGTTGACAGTGTTTTCTTAGCCACATTAACCAAAATCAGTGTTAGATTCAACGTTCGTGGTTTAGTAACTGAAGTAATTACGTAGAATTTAGCGTAACTTAGTGCGCAATGTATAAGTACCGTAGTGCCCGTATAGTAGAAAACATAGAAGTGTTTGCATGGAAGTGTTCATGCGGACTGACTAGTGACCGTCTAGTAGCATACATAGAAGTGTTTGTGTGGAAGTTTTCGGTGCACATTGACTAGTGGCCGTCTAATAGTATACATAAAAGTGTTTGTGAAGAAGTGTTCGGTGCGGACTGACTAGTGGCCGTCTAGAGTAGTATAGTGTTCGGTGCAGAAATGTATGTGTGGCAGTGTGATATATAGAAGTGTTTCTGTGGAAGTGTGATACATAGAAGTGTTTGTGTGGCAGTGTAATACGTAGAAGTGTTTGTGTGGAAGTGTGATACATAGAAGTGTTTGTGTGAAAGTGTGATACTTAAAAGTATTTCTGTGGTAGTATGATACATAGAAGTATTTGTATGGAAGTGTGATACATAGAAGTGTTTGTGTGGAAGGCTGATACATAGAGGTGTTTGTATGACAGTGTGATACATAGAAGTGTTTGTGTGGAAGTGTGATACTTAAAAGTGTTTCTGTGGAAGTATGATACATAGAAGTGTTTGTGTGGCAGTGTGGTAGATTGAAGTGTTTGTGTGGCAGTGTAATACGTAGAAGTGATTGTGTGGAAGTGTGATACTTAAAAGTGTTTTTGTGGAAGTATGATACATAGAAGTGTTTGTATGGCAGTGTGATACATAGAAGTGTTTGTGTGGAAGTGTGATACTTAAAAGTGTTTCTGTGGAAGTATGATACATAGAAGTGTTTGTGTGGCAGTGTGGTAGATTGAAGTGTTTGTGTGGCAGTGTAATACGTGGATGTGTTTGTGTGGAAGTGTGATAGATAGAAGTGTTTGTGTGGAAGTGTGATACTTAAAACTGTTTCTGTGGAAGTACGATACATAGATGTGTTTGTATGGCAAGGTGATACATAGAAGTGTTTGTGTGGAAGTGTGATACATAGAAGTGTTCGTGTGGAAGTGTGATACATAGAAGTGTTTCTGTGGTAGTATGATACATAGAAGTATTTGTATGGAAGTGTGATACATAGAAGTGTTTGTGTGGAAGGCTGATACAAAGAGGTGTTTGTATGGCAGTGTGATACATATAAGTATTTGTGTGGAAGTGTGGTAGATTGAAGTGTTTGTGTGGCAGTGTAATACGTAGAAGTGATTGTGTGGAAGTGTGATACTTAAGTGTTTTTGTGGAAGTATGATACATAGAAGTGTGGTAGATTGAAGTGTTTGTGTGGCAGTGTAATACGTAGAAGTGATTGTGTGGAAGTGTGATACTTAAAAGTGTTTTTGTGGAAGTATGATACATAGAAGTGTTGTATGGCAGTGTGATACATATAAGTGTTTGTGTGGAAGTGTGGTAGATAGAAGTGTTTGTGTGGCAGTGTAATACGTAGATGTGTTTGTGATAAAGTGTGATACATAGAAGTGTTCGTGTGGAAGTGTGATACATAGAAGTGTTTCTGTGGTAGTATGATACATAGAAGTATTTGTATGGAAGTGTGATACATAGAAGTGTTTGTGTGGAAGACTGATACAAAGAGGTGTTTGTATGGCAGTGTGATACATATAAGTATTTGTGTGGAAGTGTGGTAGATTGAAGTGTTTGTGTGGCAGTGTAATACGTAGAAGTGATTGTGTGGAAGTGTGATACTTAAAAGTGTTTCTGTGGAAGTATGATACATAGAAGTGTTTGCATGGCAGTGTGATACATATAAGTGTTTGTGTGGAAATGTGGTAAATAGAAGTGTTTGTGTGGCAGTGTAATACGTAGATGTGTTTGTGTGAAAGTGTGATACATAGAAGTGTTTGTGTGGAAGTGTGATACTTAAAAGTGTTTCTGTGGAAGTACGATACATAGAAGTGTTTGTATGGCAGTGTGATACATAGAAGTGTTTGTGTGGAAGTCTGATACATAGAAGTGTTCGTGTGGAAGTGTGATACATATAAGTGTCTGTGTGGAAGTGTGATACATAGAAGAGTTTGTGTGGAAGTGTGATACATAGAAGTGTTTGGTGGCGGTGTAATACGTAGAAGTGTTTGTGTGGAAGTTGATACATAGAAGTGTTTGTGTGGAAGTGTGATACTTAAGTGTTTGTGTGGAAGTGTGATACATAGAAGTGTTTGTGTGGAAGTGTGATACTTAAAAGTGTTTTTGTGGAAGTATGATACATAGAAGTGTTTGTATGGCAGTGTGATATTTATAAGTGTTTGTGTGGAAGTGTGGTACATAGAAGTGTTTGTGCGGTAGTGTAATCCGTAGATGTGTTTGTGTGGAAGTGTGATAGATAGAAGTGTTTGTGTGGAAGTGTGATACTTAAAAGTGTTTCTGTGGAAGTACGATACATAGATGTGTTTGTATGGCAAGGTGATACATAGCAGTGTTTGTATGGAAGTGTGATACATAGAAGTGTTCGTGTGGAAGTGTGATACAAAGAAGTGTTTGTGTGGAAGTGTGATACATAGAAGTGTTCGTGTGGAAGTGTGATACATAGAAGTGTTTGTGTGGAAGTGTGAGTGATACATAGAGGTGTTTGTGTGAAGACTGACTGCTGGGCGGCGGCAGCTTGGGCAGCAACGGCAGCAGGCGCTGCACAACGACGCGTCGCGCGGCCAGCCGCGGCCGGCCCCGCCGCCAGCGCGGCAGCCCCTCCAGGCACACACTGCGCCCCGCCTGCACCCCCCACAACAATTTAAGAATACAGAACAACTCAGAGCCCACCTGATGGAAGGTGCCTTCTGCCGACACATGCAACCGGTTACAAACTAAGAAGGCCACAGATGCGTTGTCACCCCAAGACTAATCCATTGAGGCCAGGAGGTACGCCATCTTTTGGCTCGGGGTCAAGTCACTCCGGGCGTCCACTAGGCTGTCGAAAAGACCAACGAAGGTCAGCCATTTGCGGCTCGAGCACAAATTACAAAGATAACAAATAAAAAATACAACAAAAAATTAACAGTTAATAAATGCAGTTCCTATCAAATCGCGATGAATAGAAATTACACAAATACGAATTACTACGTATCAACCAAATACAAGTAGCACAAAAGAAAAGACACAAATCAAATTCATCATCATCATCATCATTACAGCCCTTCACAAGTCCACTGCTGAACATAGGCCTCCCCCAAAGAATGCCACAAAGCACGGTCCTGAGCCACCTGCATCCATCGACCTCCTGCATATCTTACCAGGTCGTCACTCCATCTAGTGGGGGGACGCCCTACACTTCGCCTGCCGGTACGAGGCTGCCACTCGTGAACCTTTCTTCCCCATCGGTTGTCGGTTCTTCGAGCTATATGGCCGGCCCATTGCCACTTCAGCTTACTAATCCGTTGGGCTATGTCGGTCACTCTGGTTCCACTGCGGATATCCTCATTTCTGAGTTTATCACGCAGAGAAACTCCGAGCATAGCCCTCTCCATAGCTCGCTGAGCGACCTTGAGCTTCCTCATCGGGCCAGCAGTGAAGGACCACGTCCAATATTAATTTACTGAATTATTTATCAAATACTAATAGATAAATATTAATTTACTGAACTGTTTTATTAAATAATTATTAATAGACAAATATTAATTTACTGAATTCTTTATCAAATACTAATAGAAAAAATATTAATTTACTGAAATTTTTTATCAAATACTAACAAACAAATACTAATTTACTGAACTGTTTTATCAAACACTAATAGATAAATATTAATTTACTGAACTGTTTTATCAAATAAGTATTAATAGACAAATATTAATTTACTGAATTCTTTATCAAATACTAATAGACAAATATTAATTTACTGAAAATTTTTATCAAATACTAATAGACAAATATTAATTTACTGAAATTTTTTATCAAATACTAACAAACAAATACTAATTTACTGAACTGTTTTATCAAATACTAATAGATAAATATTAATTTACTGAACTGTTTTATTAAATAAGTATTAATAAACAAATATTAATTTACGACGAATTGCTAACGATCTGTTTAGAAAATATATTCTTGTACTTTATGTTGTAACGAGTGAGTGCATCTAGGATGATCCTCTGTAGCCGATTATTTTTCAAATAGTATACTGGGTGGCGCTTAGGTTATCACGTTAAATAGCACAGCAGTTAATACAAGTCGATATATGTCTGTTAAAATAATAAAATAAACAATAATAAAAGAAATTAAAAAATGCATTTTTTAAACAAAATAAATAGCGAAAAAATTGAAAAGAAATAAATCACCTTGATAATATTAGTTTACTGACATTAAATGACCTGTAAAACCGGCAACAGCGCTCAGCGCTAACGTGACATCGACATAAGTAATTATAATACCTACACTTGACCATACATAGGTAATTAGGCACGTGTAGGGCGATACTAATCCGATGTTATCAACGATTCATAAATCTCATGGTATTGTTTTTATCAAAATAATCACTTTAATCTTGAAATCACTCAAGTTCAATAATCAAAACAAATCCAATTTTGAAAAAAAAAAATCATGGCGGTGTATTCTGACGCCGTGAAATTGTGATAGAAAGCATCTTAAAATTAAAAAAAAGTTAAAAAAATAAAAGCGTGCTATTGCGCACGGGCTGTCACACCACTAAGTTATTAAATATGATTATTTAGCGTATTATTAACGTGTCCTATCACAAACAAATTAAGAAACTTATTAAAATGTTCACAAAACCAAAAAAATAACAATTAAAACTTAAAAGACTGTACGCGAAAACTGAAAATTAGGTCAAACGACTCATGAACCATCCCCAAGGACGACGGCGTCGAACTAAGTGACGTACTTTCTTACTAATCGTCGCACACGCCAGAGGTAAATATGAATTTCCACACCCCGTTCCATTTCTTGTCACTTCGCGCATAGAGAATTATGTCTTAAATCCTTTATTTTAAGTAAATTCTTCGCTAGAATTTTTTTTCACATACCCGCAGCGCGCGGTCCTTTTGTTTTTAGTTTTTGCTTGATTTTTTTCTTTATTAGAGTAATTTGAATTGGCCACCTTTGAACTAGGTATCTTCGCCTTCAAATGCCATGGATCTTTGACCTTCTAGTATTCATCAGGTGATAGCTGTATGCATTTACATGATGTTATTTAATATTAAAACGAAAAAATGCTACGGCGACTAGAATATTAATTGTTATATATTTTTTTAGTTGTGTATGTTTAAAGGAAATTTATGTAGGATACGTCTTTTTATTTAATGTGATTACTTTATCGTCACTCGGTATATATATATTGTTACGGCCTACGGCTGCTCCCCTAAAGTTAAAATCCTCAGGGGCCCATTCAGTTGAGTTTCGACGAGCAGACGTAGGTCGGGCCTCCTAAGGCCAAAGTGGAAAATCTCTAGTTACACCAAACAATAAGGGAGAAAGCTAGAAACACATTGTACTTACCATTATCCGAAGCTAACTTCGCACCAAGGCTTGGGCAGGCCGTGAGTGTGTGTAATAGTGGATGGCGAGTAGTGTACAGTGAGGTGTGAATGTGTGGGGCCTTGGCAGGCATAGGCGACCAGCAGCGGCCGAGTTCCAGGCTGCTCCAAATTGAGGTCTTCCACGGCGCCGTCCACAGTCACTTTCTTCGTTCGTCACGATGACAGTCCATTAACTCTATCGTACTATTAACTAACTTACAGAAGCCACTAACTCTCTTTTTATATAAAGCCTAACACACAAAATGAACAGGGAGTGTTCGGATCAAAGGCCACTACCGCTTCGCGTAGCAGCAACAGTTATTTCTAGACTATCAAAGGCCGCTTTAGCTAATATTGTCGAATGCTAAGTATAGATTCTGAGTCCGACACAATGAGTCCCTGGGAAGCTCTCAAGCAAGGAATGCGCGTCACAAATCCTAGACAGAATATTTACTATCCGCGCCTAATTATTCCGAGTTCCCGAAGAAAATTGACAGCGTGCTGGCGTTAGCAAAGCTGGCAGACGACTGACTTGCACTCGCGCGCGCTCGATACATCCAACTGTCAAACCGGTATGGCACCGAGCCGCGCGCCCTCTGACGTCGATTCCGACAACAGCGTTTGGCGCGAACAAACCCCCGTCCCGGACATAAGGATTTAGGTCCGCGAGCAAACCGGTCAGCGGGACAAGGTCGCGACGGTAAGTTGCAAGACTGAATCTACAACCAAACTAGGCCACCTTAGGCACCCCATCAGATCTTGCAACCCTAACCAACGCCTCAAAATTACAGCCCCAACGTGGGCAAGCCGGAGGGTTGAACTGGATGCCCTTCCTGGACATCGCAGCCCATAAATAAGTCCTATTCTGGACAGAAGTCCGACGACCTCTTTCAAACACCTATCTGTGCCCCTACGATTAGTTCCGCAATCCGACCGGATCAGGTCTGCAAACAGCGACGCGACACGAAGCGGCCCAGAGCAGCCTCCTAAGCTTCAGTGCAGAGAGCACCCCCAAATTCCACATGAACGTCGTCTGTGGAGAGCCGAACGAAACGCACAGATAGTCCCTAGTATGAATTTTCAAACAAGTAGGCATAGCTGGGCCATCTACCATATTATCATTTACCAAATTGTGCGACAGCTGATTTCCATCTGATAATCTACAACTAGCCAGCCTGTTAGGCAAGTAGTCCTATGCTCATATTTCAACTAATTTTTCAAAGCATCAAAAACTACAGAAACTACAGAATCAATTCAACCAAATTAATCACCGATGCACATAGGTCAACTTGACAAATTAAACAAAACAATAAACGCAAGAGACAGCCCTATTTCTCATTTACGTAACTTAGACAGTGCCAACAAAATGTAAACCAAAGGAGAATTGACTTTTATTTACTTCAGCACAAATAGGGTTATCTAATTTCAGCCTTCCTTTACACAAAGCAAAATGATTAAACACTATCACAAAACATATACATAATTTTCCAAATAGCGCGACATTCAATTTCAAATGAATTCAAATTTTCTTTTCAGCAACCAGGCGCAACAATCAAATGCAGTGATTAAATATATTTACAAAACATATGCAGCAGCATTTAAAGGAGTAGATTAAATTCAATTCTTTTAATCACAACCGCTACAAGTATGGAAATTTCGCGGAAAACCCAAAAGCATTTTTAATTTTATTTTAAAGAATTTTTGACTAAGTGCTCGACCAAACCAATCTAATACCCCTTGACAGCGTGATTCCACGCTCCAGGGGGGCCCTAATCTTCCCACCACCAAGTGGAGGCCACACGGCGTGAACCCGAGACCAATAGAGCGCAAACCGCTAACAGTCGTCACTCAGGTTGTACGCCTTCACTGAGGCCGTCGGCAACAGAACATTTTGACAAGTGGACTGTTGACAGCTTAAGGCTCAGTGGATGCGGCCGTAGTGGGAGCTAAGGCGGCAGCTAGCCAGGGCCGCCTCCATCAAATGGGGAACAGTGGCACACCAGTCGCGGCCACTCAGCTAACGGGAGTGAGAAGGGTCCAGCGGACACATGAGTGGCCGTTTAGTTCCTCTCCACACGCTGAGAGGGGTTGATGACACCCCCGCCCCTGGGGGAATTACCCCCCGACGGGTCGGGGGAGGGACCCTTGTCGAACCTACGGGCCTGGTGGCTGGCAGGCGGGCGCCAAGTCGCCCGGCAGAGGGCGTGGCTGAGCGCCCCCGCCCGTGGGGGTCGAGGGCCTGGCAGAACCCCGAGAGGAGACGCTGTTCGCACCCAGGCACAAAACTGCAAGGTGATTGCCCTGGCAATGTAGACAGGGCCGCCGATGCGGACAGTCTCGCTGGAGGTGCCCTCCCAAACATGAGCAGCACCAGCGGCGCTCCTTGGCGATAGTTCGCCTCGCCGGAACCGGCTTACCTAATAATTTCGGGCACGACGTTACCCTGTGATCAGATGCTCGACAATGGGAGCAGGGGGGGGGGGGGGGGGTTGACGACGACTTGCCTGGCGGATTCAACCTCTCACTGGGCACGGCTCGTAAGTCGTCCACGGCGCTCGTCGCGTTCTCGATCTGCCGGCACTGCTCCTCAAAATGGATTCGAAGGTCGAGAGGTAGACGGGACAGCACGATGCGGAGCAACAAAACAGCCCATTCGCCCACTGGTAAATCCAGCCGCCTCAACGTATTACAGGCCACCAAGACTGGATCCAACAGGTCCGGACGTAGTCTGGCCCGGTCACTAAGTAGCGGGAGGCTTAGAAGCTGCTTAACATGTTCGTCCGCAATTCGCCGGACGTTGGCGTATCTTCTGGCTAGGAGGTCCCGAGCAGTCTGGTAGGCGTCGTCCGACAATCTCAAGTGGCCGACCACGCCCAGGCCCTCCCCCTCCAGTGGGGCCAGGAGGTACGCCATCTTTTGGCTCGGGGTCAAGTCACTCCGGGCGTCCACTAGGCTGTCGAAAAGACCAACGAAGGTCAGCCATTTGCGGCTCGAGCACAAATTACAAAGATAACAAATAAAAAATACAACAAAAAATTAACAGTTAATAAATGCAGTTCCTATCAAATCGCGATGAATAGAAATTACACAAATACGAATTACTACGTATCAACCAAATACAAGTAGCACAAAAGAAAAGACACAAATCAAATTCATCATCATCATCATCATTACAGCCCTTCACAAGTACACTGCTGAACATAGGCCTCCCCCAAAGAATGCCACGAAGCACGGTCCTGAGCCACCTGCATCCATCGACTTCCTGCATATCTTACCAGGTCGTCACTCCATCTAGTGGGGGGACGCCCTACACTTCGCCTGCCGGTACGAGGCTGCCACTCGAGAACCTTTCTTCCCCATCGGTTGTCGGTTCTTCGAGCTATATGGCCGGCCCATTGCCACTTCAGCTTACTAATCCGTTGGGCTATGTCGGTCACTCTAGTTCTACTGCGGATATCCTCATTTCTGAGTTTATCACGCAGAGAAACTCCGAGCATAGCCCTCTCCATAGCACGAAAAAATGCTACGGCGACTAGAATATTAATTGTTATATATTTTTTTAGTTGTGTATGTTTAAAGGAAATTTATGTAGGATACGTCTTTTTATTTAATGTGATTACTTTATCGTCACTCGGTATATATATATTGTTACGGCCTACGGCTGCTCCCCTAAAGGTCAAATCCTCAGGGGCCTATTCAGTTGAGTTTCGACGAGCAGACGTAGGTCGGGCCTCCTAAGGCCAAAGTGGAAAATCTCTAGTTACACCAAACAATAAGGGAGAAAGCTAAAAACACATCGTACTTACCATTATCCGAAGCTAACTTCGCACCAAGGCTTGGGCAGGCCGTGAGTGTGTGTAATAGTGGATGGCGAGTAGTGTACAGTGAGGTGTGAATGTGTGCGGCCTTGGCAAGCATAGGCGACCAGCAGCGGCCAAGTTCCAGGCTGCTCCAAATTCAGGTCTTCCACGGCGCCGTCCACAGTCACTTTCTTCGTTCGTCACGATGACAGTCCATTAACTCTATCGTACTATTAACTAAGTTACAGAAGCCACTAACTCTCTTTTTATATAAAGCCTAACACACAAAATGAACAGGGAGTGTCCGGATCAAAGGCCACTACCGCTTCGCGTAGTAACAGTTATTTCTAGACTATCAAAGACCGCTTTAGCTAATATTGTCGAATGCACTTATACAGATTCTGAGTCCGACACAATGAGTCCCTGGGAAGCTCTCAAGCAAGGAATGCGGGTCACAAATCCTAGACAGAATATTTACTATCCGCGCCTAATTATTCCGAGTTCCCGAAGAAAATTAACAGCGTGCTGGCGTTAGCACAGCTGGCAGACGACTGACTTGCACTCGCGCGCGCTCGACACATCCAACTGTTAAGCCGGTATGGCACCGAGCCGCGCGCCCTCTGACGTCGATTCCGACAACAGCGTTTGGCGCGAACATAAGTAATAGAAAATATAAAAGGCAAGGGACTCTTTTTAATAGTGATGGTTACAATAAAGTATTACAAAGGTAGGTATATGATATATAACTACCTTTGTAATACTACGAGTACAAAGCTACCTTTGTAATAGGTAAGAAAAGTTACGCTATGTTGTGTGCAGAGAATTGCATTAGTAGCTATATATTAACAAGTAGTTATAACGCAAGCTAGTTCCGCTAGCATGAAAAAAAGTATGTGCAGGACTCACGTCGGTATCGGGGCGCGGCGCGATGGGCGTGGGGCGCGCGGGGCGCGCGGGCGCACGGAACTCCGGCGCGCCGCCCGCCGCCACGCGCGCCGCGCCGCACGCCGACGCCGCCGCCTTCTGCACAAACACGCCGCACATACAACAAACAACCAAACAAACATTTATTGTAAAACGCCAAAATCGTCATTAAGCTCTTAAATTTTAGCATTACGAGACGTAGCAATAAACAAATGTATAACAATATTAAAACACTATAAAAACAAAAACAATTTAACGGATATTTAGAACGTTTAAAAAGTATGTTTATAAGTTACAGTTAATAATACATTCCACATGTTGTGTGTTGTGGCGCGTTAAAGTGTTTAATAACGACACGATTTGACTCTCAATATGTAGAGACGATCGGTAGGATCGTGCTTTCTCTCTTCACCAACAAACTTTTCGTCCAACCGCATACCCCACTTCAATTTAGCTCGTAGCATTGAATCGTGTATACGTGTGAAGCGATGGGTCCGTATCTATCAAAAAGCAGACAATGTCTTGATAGTTAGTTCATCGTTGCGCGAAAAACTTATAGAGAAGAAGATGAAGTATTGGGTAAAAGAATGGATTCTGTTAAGAAACAAAATATCGTACATGAACGTTATGCTTTATTTGAAGCCCGATGGATTTTCAAAACTTCCTAAGAATGGATTCGGATTTTGTTTAGAGGATTACCACTAGGATTACTTTTAATAACTCTTCTCGTATGCCTTTATTTGCGTAGTTTTCGTTTTTTTTGTCCCACAGATGTGGTAACTCTTTATATAAATCAAATATTTATACCCACACTTCCTTTTTAGCAACGCCCTTTTTCAATCTCGTTTCTTCCTAACATATTAATGTCTCGTCTCGAGCGTTATGAGAGCACAACTGGCGTGAAATCTCCCCGACCAATTGTGTTGAACTCTTCACACGTCAATCTGTAGTATTGTGAGTCAATGCGACCCAATCGGCAACAAATCAGCCCGACTACCCAATTCATCTATGCCAATTGGTGGGGACACCACCAATCGGCTCTACAGCTTTGGAGAAAATCGTGTCGTTCGTAGACGCCTTTATGCAAACGGACCTCACTCAGCTTATATGTTATCGCCGAAACAACGACGCTGGTTTTCAGTGGCCCGAACGGACCGTAGACACACCCACACCAAGGAATTTTATTTAAACTACTAGATCTTTATATGTCATGTATATTGACCTGTATTTGACGGCTTCGCGTCGCAGTAGATTAATTATGGAGTTGCAGCGCTGAAGCTGAAGGAAACAAGTATTTGTAATAATAATTGTTACGAATATGGATGTTTGTCCCTACGAAATTCATGTATGTATGCCCTTACGATACAGGAGAAATTCCTAGTGTGAAAGTAATATTTTTTTAAATAAACAAAACAGAAAAATACTAGCAATGTGCAGACATTAATTTTTTAATACAGTTGCTCAAAAAGTGGCGTATTGCAGGGACGTATAGCGTTCGGGATGTAAGCTATTACATACTCGTGATTTTTCTTTACCTTTTCCGAACTCGTACGTTTTCTTTTCCAACTGTCAAAATAATGTCTATTAAAAAGAAAAAAACCAACCACGAAGTTTTTACTAAAAAAAAAATTCATAGAAGTTTTTATGATTCATGCAAATATTTCTAAAAAGAAGCAACTAATTTGTTTCAATATCAGATTTAATGATTTGATTCAATAAGTTAGGTTAGGTTTCATTTCATCTCATTAAATTTACTTTTCATTTTATATCAATAAAAAATCTACTGAAGACTTGGCTGTATGGGCATAGTTCCCTTTGCCTACCCAGAATGGGTGAAGAAAACAAAAAAAAAAACTCTGCTTATATTCTTTTACGGTTGGCGCCATTTTCCAAAAATGTTCTTTATTAAATTGCTTCATTTTTTCGCAACTGTATTAAAAATAGTTGTTGTTGCAACTTGTTCCGACTGTCAACCCTCACCTTCGACTGCGCCTCGGCTCGGAAATTATAATTGCAAAATAGCATTCTAAATAAAAGTATATAGATTTTTAGCGTGTGTAATTGCACAAAACAATGCCCCAGTAGTTTGTTCTTTAATTATTCGCAAATTATTTAAATCTTTTTTAAATTTCTTTACTTTCAGGAAAGTCCGTAGTTTGGTTTGTATATTTTTAATCTAACTAATATTTCAGAAATAAACATTAACCTTTACATTTTTCTAACAAATTAACTTCCTCGCCATGCAATCAATGAAATATTTCATCATGAAACTAAGTGGCGCCGCCCTGGTGGCAGAAGAAGTCGTGGATGCTCTCAATCTGAATAAAAATTATGTCACAACTGTGAAACGCGCGGGCGCGGGCGTTGGCTAGGCTAGACTGGCACGGTAAATATGCCACGCAATTACTATTACTGTTTTATGCAATTTTTTTTTTATAGAATAAGGGTGACAAACGAGCACACAATCCACCTGATGGTAAGTGGTTGCTGTGGCCCATAGACATCCACATCTATCTTCGTTCGCGAATTATAATGCAGATACGTTGTCAGCCGTGAGGACTAAGATAGAATGCCTCTTTTCCAGTAAAATGGGTCTCCGGTTCTCTACACTCACCATACGAAACACAGCAGCATTAAGCTGCTATTTTACGCTGGTATTCTGTGAGAGCGTGTTCCGTTCCCGGTCGAGCCGACCCATTCGTGCTACAACTATACTATTAATATAGCTGCAGCATGGCTCTACTACGTAAAAACCGTCCACTGCATTTCAGTCTTCTAGACACTAAAACAGGTTTTGTAACTCGAGCTGAAAGGTTTCGGGACTTTGGATTAGAGCACGAGGGGTACGGAGCGTTGACTTAATTAGACGACACCTCTCCAACTTAATATTTAGGTTCAGTGTGGCTCTAAACATTCGGTGATCGCTACCAGTTTTCGCGATCGCGATCACTAAGACATCACTGAACAGTTGCCGTCTGGTCGTCATAATGAAGTCAATCTCATGTTTTGTGGAACCGTCGGGGCTCGACCAGGTTCACTTCCTGTGAGGCCGCTACTGGAAGAAAGAGTTCATCATAAAGATTCCTTCTTTCTCCATGAAGTCGGCCAGCTTCTGGCTTCTTGGGTTCCGTTGCCCTATTCCAAATTTCCCTACCTTCAGCTCACCGTTCTCTCTTGTGCCTAGTTTTGCGTTGAAGTCTCAACACCGTATAGTGAGTTTTGGAGGAACTCATGGCTCTAGATATATCCTCATACTTTCCTCCACCTCCTCTTCGGGATGTGCCGAGGTTGGTGCGTAAACCTGTATGATCTTCAGCGAATACGGTTTAGTGATTCTGAGTATAAAGTACGCAGCCCTCGTCGACAAACTCTCAATCTTTACAACGTTGTTAACGAGAGATTCGTGGACGATAATTCCGTTACTTCCTTGGAACAGATGGTCCCGGTGATAGAACAAGTTGCCGGATTCGAGGATTACTATGTCCTCCACCCCTCTCTTCGGACCTCAGATAATCCTATAATATTCCAGCGCAACTTGTATATCTCTTCTTCCAGCTCCAGGATCTTCCGTCAGTCCTCAGGGTGCGTGCGTTATATGTTGACAGGTGGAGTCACCTTAGGTGGCAGCCGAACCTCCACCGGAGATTCTTAGCACCCCTTGTCCGCCAAACAATGGTCGCCACCGTAGCCAGGAATAGCGGGGCCGCCGGGGACTGGGGGCCGTCTCTTCGTAACTCTAATCATGTTATAAATATATATGTAATATACCCCATATTGCCATAGTTGCCACGCTTGGCGAGCAGGTTGACAATCGCAGTTTTTTTTATTTTTGTTTTGCTTTTACCAGAAAAATGCTGCTGCATATTTTCTGCCTCAGTTTCCCTCCGTCGCCTCTTACGACACGCACGGGAAGATATGGGTTAGTTAGTAGGTATTCTTACCCGCCACAACACGGGGAGTCACGATAAACTAATTCAAATAGCTATTGTTTTTGTTCATTAATGAATTTTGTTAGTTCTTTTTGATACTTCTGATTCTTGCTAAATTGTAAAAAGTGGATATCTATTATTGGTTCTATGTAAAGACATATATTATACAAGAATAATGTGTATCAGAAAGTTAACCTGTTTCCGTTGGTGCGCGCACACGTGCCCGCAGGCACAGCGCGGGACGCTCGCATTCGCTAGCGGGTTGCCCGCCAACGCCAGTAGCCGCTTCAATCTGGTTTAATAAAAACAATCAAATTATCAAACACATACATATATTTAACAAGCTTCCAGAATAATGTAATGCTATGAATTATTAATCAAAAGAAATTTAAGTCAATGGCTCCTTGATCGATGTTTTTATTCCGTAAAAGACTTTTCTGACGTATAAAATAGATTAGGTACTTAAAAAACAGTATATGTATATTTATTTATTTATTTGTTTTATTCTTTATAGAAACAGAAACAGGAACTTTTTTATTCAATAGAGATTATAAATAATACTTATTGAAAGTCACTCTTTTGTTTGATTACCCCTGGTTTGGAAAAAACCTCTGTCCTGGGAAGAACCAACAAGAAACCCAGCGGGACTTTTTTTTATGTTTTCATTTCATTCTATTTTATCTCATGGCAAGCTTTGGTTACACTAAAATCATTTTTAGTAGTTAAAAAGAATTTTATGAAAACTGGGATTATTGAAGAACAAATTTTTTTTTCTGTAATCTAAGAAATAATGTAACAAGTGCTATACCATTTTATAATCCTTATTAAATACGTTAACTTTTAAGGTTACTTGCTAAACTGGCATAGCACATTTTTTTCAGTACAGTCAGTTAAAGTTGGGCGAAGTATTAATTTTTCATTCTTGGTTCGGATAAATGTGACATTTTCTTCTAAGATGGAGCAGTTAGCTAAGAATTAAAAACAACAGGTTACACAAGCACTACCCAAGATTACACAAAAACAAAAATCGATAAAAAGTAAAGATTTGTAGTTAAAGGAGCTAAAAAACCACCACATGTAATTTTAAAAATGCATGACTACGATTTTTTTTTAGATTTTTCTGGTAACTATTATGATTTGTCCTATCACCCGATTCCGGTTTGACTTTGACTTTTGGGACAACCTGTATAACATGATCTGCTGAACTAGTGCAAATAATGTTTAGCCGTGAATCTTCGGTGTCCGCGTTATGGTGAGTTGGACCAGATGGTAGTATGCTGAGTTCTGCTGAGTTCAAGATAGCTTAGATTTTGCGACTCTGAGGGAAATCCTTTGGTGAGTTAGTGTTGAAGTCACCCATTATTATAATAAGTTTGTAAATTGTGCTGCCCAAAACTGTCGGAAATGAGAGGAGGCCAGTGCCTAGCAGTGGGAATGTATATAGACTGTAACTTTAACTTTTAACTTTAAATTGTGCTGATGGAGTCAATCACAGATTAAATATGGGAAAAATAATCAGTTGGAAAAGTTTACCCGTAAACAATTACAAGCACGACCCTCAAACCCTTAATATCTATTTCTAGAAATAGGTACTCAGCAGATCCTCTAAACTCCGATGGTGATGGCAGTCTAAAAATATCCACTACCCCCATATCATCCCGTGTGTGTCGTGAGAAATGACAGAGGGAAATAAATCAAGAGATGGGCAGCAGCGTCTTCCTAACAACGACTAAAAACTGTGGTTGCCAACCCGCTTGCCAAGCGTGGCAACTACGGCGAAATAGTCCTCTGTAAGGCAGTCTATGGGGGAGGCTTATGATCACCGGTGGATTTTTTATAGGCTGTAATGGATGGAATAGATGCATGAATGTCTGGTTCGAGTTTAACTCATTGTCCGAATCTTATATAAAAAATTATAATTCATCTTAGTACACATAGGACCGGAAGGGAGAAGCCATACCCTTTTTGTCCTTATACATAACTGTCTGTCAATTTTTGCGGGGGGATAACTGCGCATATTAAAACAATCGTCTGTCACTACGAAATTTACACATAACAATTAAAACAAAATACTAACAATTTCACACACACATAGATACATTATAGCACTGTATATATACGTGGTAAAGCCAAGCTGTAGCTATATTAATAGTATAGTTGTGATGTATAAAAAGAATGACTAGATATAATATATTCCATACTACTAAGTTTGTTACTAGGATATAAGTATAATAATTCGATTTTACTATTTGCATGTCTTAAAATTAATCTTAAGTTTACACATTATAAAATCACACAAAAAACACTTTAACTCTCGAACGCCCAATATACACACTTCCTTACATTTTACTTATTACTACTCGTACATTTAACTATTTTAATACTTACCCTCAGACTATATTTTTTATTACAGCTACCTATAAAACTGGCCATGTACCGATAAAATATTTACTACTAGCTGTTTCCCGCGACTTCGTTCGCGTGTTAGGGTTTTTATGTTTCTGCGCGGAACCCTGATTCTTTTTCTAAAATAAAAGTAGCCAAAGTTACTCCTTATGAAATCAGCTATCTGCCAGTAAAAGTTCTGTCAAAATCGGTCCAGCCGTTTCGGAGATTACCCGGAACAAACAGACAGACAGACAGACAGACAGACAAAAATTTTAAAAATTGTATTTTAGTTATAGGTATCATATTTACTTTCATATGCATTTAGTAAAAAACTGTAATTTTGACATTACAAACAGACACTTCAATTTTATTTATTTGTATAGATGTTACATTATGATAAAATACATTAGGGAAACCATAAACAAATATCACCAGAATCTATACAAATTCTGTGTTATTAGTTCCATTATTTTTGATGATGGATAGTCCTTTGATTATGTTAAAAGAAATAGACGATACCGAAATTGCAAATTCTGTATCTTGCGATATTGAGGATTTGAATAAATTCATATGTTTGAATAAAAAAGACTTGACAGTTATCACGCAGAACATCAGAAGTGTTTATAAAAACTTAGACAACTTGCAATTAACACTATCTAGTCTTACCTTTGAAGTAGATCTGTTAATTCTAACAGAATGCAGGCTTGATAACAATAAGCATCTGCCACAAATTACAAATTACACATCGTTTGTTACTATGCAACATCTTAACCAAAATGACGGAGTAACAGTTTACTATAAAAATAATCTTAAACCTAAGATAAAAGAAATAAAATTAGAGCATGCATCTTGCTTACAAATAGAAATCTTTAATAATATTATATTAGGTATATACAGATCACCCTCTAATACAAATACTGAAAAATTTACTGAATCTTTGCGACAACATCTCAACACCATTAAAAACAATCAAAATATAATTATTACTGGAGATATCAACATAAATCTTATTCCAAAACCTAATGAACTAAATAGTGAACAAAAGAATAGAATTAACTATCTAGATGTCCTTTCTACTTTCGGCTTGTTACCGGGACATACAATTGCTACCAGAGAAAATAGTTGCCTGGATCATGTTATCCTTAAATTAAATAGAAAGAAGACACAAGCAAATATAGCAGTAATAAATACATCCATCACCGATCACTATATGGTGTTCTTTAGTTTAACTAAAATTAAAGAAATAAAAACTTCTCCGCGAACAAAAATATATATCGATTTTAATAAGGCGGTTAATAGCCTAGCTAATAAAAATTTATCTATTTTACTATTATGCGATGATCCTAATAGAATTGTTGAAATGTTAATAAACAAAATTACAGAATCTCTACATGAAAACACTAATACTATCCGTATTCCTAAAAGTAGACGTACCATTAAACCCTGGATAACTACAGGTGTGCTCAGATGCATTCAAAATAGGAATAAAATGCAAAAACAACTTAAAAACAACCCTTTCGATGAAATTTTGAGAATAACCTATAAAAGATATCGCAATTAATGTAACAACTGTATTAAAAAGTTAAAACGTTCATATGAAAGAACACTGTTATTAGAAAAAAACCCTAAAATCTTATGGAATAATATAAAAAATATTACACATACTAAGGAAAATAACTAATAATGCATTATTAGACATAGAATCAAGCCCTACTCAATCAGTTAATACAGTCAATAATTTTTTCGCAAATATTGGGCGTAAGCTTGCCGATGACATTCAAAAGAACACAGCATACGATCACAATATACATATTGCAGCACACTTAATTAATAACCAGCTCTCATCTTTCGCCATCGTAGATACTGATCCTAATGAAGTTCTTAGTATACTCATGAACTTAAAATCCGATAGCACTCCGGGTTATGATAACATACCCACAAAATTTGTGAAATTGGCCAGTTCTTTATTAGTGCCGATAGTTTGTCACTTGGCTAACCTCTGTTTTTCTAAAAGTGTATTTCCAGCCTTCCTTAAACGTTCTATTATTACACCTGTATACAAAAATGGGAGCAGAGATGATATAAATAATTATAGGCCAATTTCCATCTTACCAGCTTTTTCCAAAATCTTAGAAAAATTAATTAATAACAGATTAATACGGTATTTAGATAAATATAATATTCTATCGCAAACACAATATGGATTTAGAAGAGGAAAAAACACACAGAACGCTGTCATAGATCTAACTACATATATTGTTGATCACCTTGACCAAAACAAAAAATGTCTTGCTATATTTTTGGACTTAAAAAAGGCATTTGACACCGTCTCTGTTCCCATGCTTGTTAGGAAGTTGGAAAAGATCGGTATAAGGGAAGCCCAACTAGAATTAATAAGAGATTATTTAAGAAACAGAACGCAAAGCACTAGAATAGGCAATTATGTCAGTAATGACCTTCAAATAACCTTTGGGGTGCCTCAAGGCAGTGTACTAGGCCCTACCTTATTTCTCATTTATATTAATGACCTCTATAGATTAAAACTTGACAATGGTAAGATTTATTCATATGCGGACGATACTGCTATCGTATTCAAGGGTAAATCGTGGGATGAAGTCTACGATACAGCCGAATTTGGACTGTCCAAATTGCGAACTGGCTCGAAATAAACTTGCTTACCCTAAACACGTCTAAGACTAAATATATATGTTTTTCCATTAACAAACGGTCACAACCCATAACACACAATCTCAAAATACACAACTGTGGTTTGCGTAACAATTGCACGTGTCCTACTATAGAAAAAGTAGCTAGCACTAAATATTTGGGTGTTATAATAGACCAAACACTTACATGGCATTCACATATAGAAGCAACTAATAATAGGTTACGAAAACTTATTTGGATCTTTAAGACCCTAAGACATGTCGCAACTCATAAATTATTAAATCAAATATATGCTGCACTAGCCCAATCGATTTTAACATATTGTATACCAGTTTGGGGTGGTACTACGAAAACTAAACTCCTACAACTAGAACGTGGTCAACGATCATTAATAAAGGTCATGTACAATAAATCATACAGATTCCCTAGAGAAGAACTTTACTCAGTTAGTGGTTTACTAAGTGTTAGAAAGTTATACATTTTAAACTTGTTGTTAACAAAACATAAAACAACTTTCTACGACTGCAAAACTAGTAATAGACGAGGAAGAGCTTTTGAATTAACTCTAGTCAAGACAAATTTCACCAATTTAAAAGACAGGCTGGTTATTTATACAATGTAGTCAACAAAAAACTAAACATTTATTCACTGAATTCTAATGAGTTCAAAAAGACAGTTACAGAATGGCTACTGAAACTTAAGTATGATGAAGTCGAGGAATTACTAAAAGTTATTAAATAAATTTTACAAACGCCGACAAACACACACATGTGTACATATACACACGCAAACACACACACACACACACACACACGCACACACGCACACGCACACACGCGCGCTCACACACACACACACACACACACACACACACACACACACACACACACACACACACACACACACAGACACACACACTCACACAGAATCGCGCGAGTGAGCGCACGCACCCGTCAACTCACACTCACATAAAACTCGCACACTTATGTTTATTAATCATCATTATATAAATTTAAGCTTAGTTTCTTGTATTTCTTTAATTAATCTATTTTGTGTTTATTTAATTCTTGCTATAGAAGAGCGGGGCATCCTGCCACAAGTATATATTTACTTAAAAGGATGTTCCACTTACTCCCATACCTATATAATGTATGATCTTTTTAAAGAAATAAACAATTTTTCATTTTCATTTTCATTTTTCAGTTGTAGCACGAATAGGTCGGCTCGACCGGAGAAGGACCACCCTCTCACTGAATACCAGCGTAATGCTGCTGTGTTTCGTATGGTGAGTGTAGAGAACCGGAGACCCATTTTACTGGAAAAGAGGCATTCTATCTTAGTCCTCACAGCTGACAACGCATCTGCATTTTAATTCGCCAACGAAGATAGATGTAGATGTCTATGGGCCACAGCAACTACTTACAATCAGGTGGACTGTGTGCTCGTTTGTCACCCTTATTCTATAAAAAAAAAACATTATCTTTCGGAAACACCGATAAATCGCATAGAGACTCGGATCAGTCGCTCGACCGATTCGCATATTATATGAGGGACTTACGTTTGCGGCAGCTTAGGAAGGGTTGATGTGAAAGGAGACGAAGAGTTTTTCCTATATCACTTTTATTTTCTAACTTACAAGCTAAATTAACTACTATAACAATGTGTGTTCACAGGAATAATGGACAACCTTAACATTTAAACTTTGGTTTTTATACTATGTTGAATATTCTTAAGTCACGTAAGTAAATTGAGTCACATTTTAAAGACGTGCTGCTATTTGCTTAGCAGGTGCTGTATGGTAGGGGTCTTCTGGATGGTATGCAAGGTATATGTAACCATCGTAGCGAGCAGCCTCTGTTGGTAAACAAATCCAAAACAACACGACCGTTATCATTGTAATTTTAAAGTTTTAAAAGAAGTAAATAGCAATAATGTGATTAAAATTATTTATATATGAAAGGAACGCCATCTTTTTGTAAATTTGACGTAACAGATTTAATTGTGCAGCAAACGATTGAATTTTTTTTGTTGGACGTCGATTAAGCCGCGCAACTAGATTCGTTCTAGTGAGAAGTGCGGCTGCGGCAACTAGTTTTATTGCACACATAGGACCGCGTGGACCTATACTTCGACAGAGGGGAACGCCTGCGTATGGTTACTCCCCTCCGATCCAACGGCGGCCCTTGTTGCTCTATGGCAGCAGGTATACATTACACTATTAGAAGCGTTGTTAGAGCTGCACTGACCTGTCACTGACTTGGTTGAACCCACTTTCGGGCGGTGGTGCGGTGGGCCGGTTGATCAGCTTGGACACCAGCTTCAGGGTCCCACAGCCTAGAGCTGCTGGCTTGTGCTCCGGGGACGCCTGCTGCTCATCTGGAAGTATGATTGAAGGCGACACCGGGCAAAGATTAGAATTGTCCCACAACACAATAAGAAGTTAAGGATTCCTAATGTTAATTTAAGTCCTGCTGGGTTTTGGATTGGATGAAACGGGACGATGGGTTATTTTACGAATGCAAATAGTGGCAAAAAGATTTTTTCTATTTATATTTATGTAAAAATCGTACGTTTTTCAATTATACACAGAGCATGTAAAATCGTATTTATTACAATGATTAAATTCGGCAACTTACGACGACAAAAAAAAAACTGTCGTTTTGTTTGAACCTAATTTTGATTTATAACTGGTTTTTTTTCCAGAATCGTTCTGTCCTGTAAATGCGTCGTAAAGGAAATTGTATATTAATTATATATAATTGTTGATGCTAAGCTGGGAGCAGCGCAAAGATTTCCCCATATTAAGCCCTGGGTGTCACCACCAGAAAGGTAAGGAAGACCCTGACCCTAAAACTCAAAATAAAAAGCTGCAGTTGCAAACCCACCTGCCAAGAGTGGCAGCAATAGCAAATATCCCCTATATTAAACAATCTATGGGTAAAGAATATGTTCCGCAGTGGATTTTTGATAGGCCTAATGAATAAAGCTTGACAAAGTTTATAAATGTGAAACGTTCTTTGACTTAACAAATGCATTTGGCACTTTTTCTTTCTCATACCTTAAAAAACTAGATAATCTAGAAATACGAGTAAATATTACCATAATATAATTTATTTAAATCATAGGAGGTAAGGTATTAGAAAAAAATGAACATAAAAAACAATCCCGGTATAAGGAAGTTGATGTTATGTTCACAGTTTCACAAGGTAGCGTTTCAGGTCCAATTTACTATATTAAATGGTCACGTACATTTAAATAATATACAAAATGTAACATAATTAACGCACATCCTGAAAGTAATTTGTTCAGAATCGTTTACTGAATCGATTTCTATCATTTTTAATATTTCATATAAGGTAATTTTTTATCCAAGAAATGATTAATACTACGTAAATTACAGTCACACTAAACCTGTACACTCAAAACAAACTGAAATGGACCGTAACTCAAGGCAATAAGACTTTTGAATGAAGAAAGTGCAGTTTTATTTGTATTAATACAAATTCCCTCATTCAATACCGAATAAAGAAAAATTAACCTTATTTGCCGACTTTTTGATAACTTTTTGATAAGCTTACAGCGACCGCTGGATCGGTTGTGGCGGTCTTGTCCAGTGGCCTCCCAGACAGCTGATTTGATGCCTCTTGACTTTTTTGTGGGGACGTATTAAATCAATAGTTTATTTTAGTGAGACAAAAAGTGCCGAGGACCTAAAAAAATAGTGAAAGCTTTTGGAATAGTGCAAAATGACACTGAAGTGCTTTCTATATTAAAATATTAATTAAGAAAACGGCCATTAAAATGTATTGAACAAGGTGGTGGACATTTTGAAAGTGTATTAAAAATACAACGTTCCATGAGCGTTTAGGCTATCAGTAAGTTAAGTATTTGATTTTATAAATTATTGTAAATATCTTGATTCACATCTTTTAAACACGCCGTCTTTGAATTATGTTGTCGTATCGCCTCTTATTTTTAATAATTCATTATTATTTACAATTACAATTAAAATGTTATGCTAATGTAACATTTTGTAACGAATATTGCTTATTGATTTTGATTGATCAATAAACAAAATTATTCAAAGTCGACAGTCCAAAGCCTGAAAAGTGCGATGGAAAGATGCAATCAAATGTTTATTTACTAGACTTACATAAACAACTCGATACTCGGAGTTCGGACATCGATTAATGCTCATAGGTAGGTATTTTTTAACGTGGTAGAGCCACGCGGCAGCTTTTGCTGTCGCACGGATTGGCCGGTTCGAACCGAGGTGGTACCACGACCTCACAGAATACCAGCGTGAAGTAGAGGTTTACCTCTGCGTTTGGCTTGGTGAGTGCAGGTGGCCGGAGGCACTTTTTACTGGAAATGAGGCATTCCATCTTAGTCCTCACGGGTGACAACGCATCTGCATTTTGATTCGCAAACGAGGATAGATGTAGATGTCTATGGGCCGCAGCAACCACTTACCATCAGGTGGACTGTGTCCTCGTTTGTCACCCTTATTCTATATAAAAAAAATTTACGTAAACAATCGTGTATTGTCGGCTTTTTTCGGCACTAATACCTACAGTTGTGTCAAGCGGCGGCGACGTTAACCCGTCTCGAACGCGAGGAAATACCTATTAGGCTAGCAATAACCTCATACCTATACCTACGTGTGCGACTGTGTGCGTTCGTGGATTTGTACTGTGATCACAACATTCTTCCGAAATTAGTATAACTAATTTAATAAATAATCAATGCTTAAACATGTTTAACTAAAAAGTCGGTGTATGTATTATAATTATAATATACTAATTGGGGTGTCTGAGGGTGTGCGTTAATTACGTTACAAGTTGTATTAAAAAAATCTTATGAAGAAAGGTAAGCCTATATTTGTTCTACTCCAGGTCACAGTTTTACACTTATTTTTGAAAGGGTTTTAAAGTAAAGAAGTGTCCACCGCGCTGCTCCAATGCGTTTTGGCAGACTTCACGTCTTAGATTTTTTTTAATTTCTCAGAAATGCTCCTTTCCTCACGATGTTTTCCTTCACCGCCGAGCACAGTAAAATGTTAAAAATATTTACTCACTTTTTCTCTCGTCGCCCGATATTCCATCATTACTATCTTGACTGAATGTATTCTTGGGAGAAAAAATATCTGTGTCACTTTCTCTCGCTTTTTCTTTCTCATCTTCAGTAGTAACTTCAATCCCTTTATCAAGAATCTTGTCTATTTTCTCTTTTTTCTCCGTATGTTTATCATTGTCTAAAGTGGAAGGTACTTTTTCCGTGTCAGTGTTTTTCTGTGCTTTAAGCAAGGGTTGTGGTAATGGTGGAGTGGGTTCCGCCCACCAATAATCTAACTCAAGTTTTGACCGGGAGCCAAACTAAAAATAGCATATAAATTCATTTTAGTGCTTAATGGAAAATTTGTTTAGTGCACAACAAATTTACTTCAAAGTTTCTAGGAATGTATCGCGAAACCCTTATCTAATTAAAGGCAGGTTCCTTCGTCGAATTAGAGATATAAACACGAAGATGGAAAAAATGAATCCTGAATGAGGATATTAACTGCATCACAATATGGATATTTATAGTAATATGTCAATGAATAGGGGAAGATTTGATGAAACATGGAGGCATTCGATGGATATACGTGGCCCTCGTGTTTTTATAGAATAAGGGTAACCAACGACCACGTAGTCCAAATGGTGGTAAGTTGATGCTGTAGCCAAGTTAATACTTTATTTTTAACGAAAAGATATTACATCTCAAACTGACTGCCTCGTTGGTCTAGTGGTTGTAAAAGCTAATCATGAAGTCCCGGGTTCGAATCCCGGGTTAGGCAAAAAAAATCAGTTATTAAGTTTTTTTTGTCAAGAAATTCTCAGTAGCTGTCTGGACGCACGCACGCACGCACACACATACACACGCACGCACACGCACGTGCGCGTTTATATATAAGCCCCTTTGGCACGAATATTATCAGTTTTATTATTTCAACTTTTATAATTAATTAATTATGTAAGGTCATGCAAACAGTATTTATGAGAGTGAATGAATAGAGGATGCACCTATGCTTGTGCATACATTCGGTGTTCGGGCATTATAACCTGTCCCGCGCAGATGGCTAGTCTCTGTTGAGGCTAGCCGCCGTGACCAAAATTCGGTTTGGTTCTCCAGACCGAATTTTGGTTTTATTATTATTATATTACATCTCGGACAAAATAAAATAAAACCTTATCGTTTTAACCTCTAAGCATAATTATTATTAGTGTAAAAATTATCAAATTATATACAGGGTTATTTTTCAACGAGTAGCCAAATTTTATACTTCAGTTTAAATATATAAATAATGATATACCGTAATTGCAGTTTTTGCAATCTTTAATAAAAAATACTTTTATTTGAAATTATCCCAAATTGAATGTGATTTATGGGCAACAATCACGCGTACGCGCGCTCCTCTGTGTGCGATTCAATTCACAACGTTTATGCCTACCGAACAACCCTAACGAATGAGTGCAAAAAAGTAGTAAAATAGTAGGCGTTAGATCTTTATGAATGACAATCAGTTAAAATAGTGCATTACCACGCATTCTGAATTTAAAAAATAAAAAGTACAAAATGATTCAGATATTTTTTTAATTAATTTTTCTTCATCATTCATTATATCACTTTTACTGATATCTGAACCTTCTATGTAAATATGGCCGTATATTGCAAAATAACCTTGTATATAAAATATATCTCTTTTATCTCTAGGATAAATTTACACAGCTTACTTTTTTCAAATCACTTACCATAAGATATAGGTCGCCAATAGTCAGGTCCCCTGCATCGTAAATGCTCCAGCCTTTTCTGACCTGCTTGATGGCCGTTTCTATATCAATATCAGATTTCTGTTCTTCTTCCATCTTTGCAGGTTCCTGTTCGCATTTGATCTCTTCATTTTCCTTTCCCAATACAAGGGTGTACAAACTGCCACCGCGTTTCTTAGGCCTTATGCGAAATTTTACCTACAGGACGACGTTATTTACTTTAATAATGTTAATGTTCAATAGTAATAATATTTTAGCGTTTTACGTTATTTTTATTATAAGTATCTTAATAAATTTTATAAAATACTCTAAAGCTTTAAATTCACATACAAAATAGACTTTAAATTAAAACAGAATAATGCTTATTTTTGTTCATCTTTAAATATTGAGGAATGGTTCTAAGACGTTATTATCTGTGGGATGCAATCCTGTCAACTCGAGCTTGGGGTTCTTCTTCGAAGTGTGCTAATTACCTGCCCCCACAGCACCTTAACCTCACTAATGAGGTTGTAGCGAGACCAAGTCGTCAGCCGTCACACCAGATGGTGTGGCGCGGCCAAGATTAACCAGCCGTACCACAATCCGCCGGCCAGATAAGGTCGGATTTCGAACAAAGCAGTCACCTACTCTCAGGGACGGTACCTCCTTTCTCTATTTTCCTCTGGTAGTTAGAATTATAATACATTCGTGTACAATAATTATACAACGACTAAGAACGACTCGAACCTACGATTTAACCTTGACAATCTTTGTATTATTATATCCTAATAACATCTATTATATGGCATCATTGTAGTGCGTGGTGCCTGTGGGGCACTGAGACGTAGTGCTTTAGATAGGTAAGTTAAGCATAAGAGTTACTTTTCAACTTCGGGTATATTTACCGCGTAGTCATATTTTGTAGGCAATAGCAGATATTCCCATCAGATGTCTAAATACCTACATAATAATGAGTCATTCGTCATTAGTTTATTTGGTACGGAATGACTGTCCATAGTGGACTCATGTAAAACGTCTGTCAGAAAAATCTAAATGGTGTAATCCGCAATCTATCCAGCGCAGATGGTTAGTTTCCGGTGAGACGGGCCGCCGTCATCGAAATTTGGGCATTATACTTGTAGTCGCTTACTGTATTAAGAACTTGCTTACGATGAAATTTAATAATATTTCATTGTGGATATTAATGTCACTGTGTAGTGGCGGCGTAAAAGTATCTATTACCCCATCCTGTGGGTGTAATAAGAGGCAACAATGGGAAACTGAAACAGAAGATGACCAGCAGCATCTACCTGATAACCACTCAAAATAATTAAAAACTGCTGTTGCCAACCTACCTGCCAAGCGGCACTATGGCTATGGGGGTTTATGTTCAGCAGTCACTTTTATAGGCTCTAATGAATGAATGACGTAATAAATGATTTACCTATTCATAAATCAAAGAAAAAATTACTTACAATAAACGGGAACTTCAGTAATAAAATTCTTAAAAATATTGTACTTAAATCTTTTAAAAAGTATAATAAGAATTACCTTCAAATTTTTAAACTTCCTCCCCTTTCCGTTTTTATCCACTTTACCGTCACTTTCGTTATCCGTGTCGCTTTTGTTAAACTTTTCGTCATCTTCTAGTTCAGAAAAACTATCCTTTTCCTTTTCTGACATAATATCTTTATCTCTTTCCGGTTCCCTATCTATATCTTCTTCGGCAGTCTCCTCGGCCTTTATCTCTTTTTCGTCTTCTGTACTTGGCTTTTCTTCATCTTCTTGTAGATGTTTGTAGCTCGCCATTAGCTCTATTCCATCTATTGCTGTTTCGTCTATGTGTACTACTTTCTGTGATTCAGAGTCTTCAATTTTGATTTTTTTACTTTCTACATCTTTCTCTGAAACGCTATCCTTTCTTTGACGTTTTGGGGTTCTTATTTTCGCTAAAACCAATTATTTAAAATGAAAGTATCATGTCGTTTTGTATCCATATCGGAAAATGTGGAAGAATATGCCATATTTTACTCCAAATATCAACTTCACCTGCAAGCGGTGCATCCTGCCGATAGTCGGACGCCGACTAACTTTATAGCGACCGACTTATGGCAGAAAATCTATCCAAATACGCTAAACTTAAATTTCATAGACTGGTCATAGAATGCATCAGATTTTATTAAAAATCGCATAAGGTTAGAACTACATTAGCTCTACGTATGCCCCATACGGATAGAAAATATATAACATATATAGTGACTTGACACGATGAAGGATTAAATAGTCAAACTGATTAACTGCTTTATTAAAATCCTAAATTGTATACATCTGAAGATATGAAAATCAGTCAATGCTTGCTGAACAGGTGTTAAGATAATAAAATGCAAATGCAGACATTTCTGGTATTGAAATATCTTAGAAAAACTGACAGTGCCAGGAATATAGTATGTACAAAGTTCGCAGCATTTTTTACAAGAGAAATTATTCGAATTGTACCTATTTGTAAACATGGTAGCTATGTAAATTAATCTTACTACAGACCAATTGCAATTTTATTTGATATTAATAAGATAGTTAAGAAAGGCATTGTTACTAAATTAGTATTTTCCTGGAAAATTATCATGTAATCCCAGACACTCACGGATTACGGAAGAATATCTAAATTGACAGATGATGTTAATAAGCACCTAAACAAAAGGAAATATGTTAAAATCTTGTTTGTAGACTTCAACAATCGAGACGTTGGACCACGAGCTCCAACGTACGTTTCTTCCATATTAAAACAATATTTTTAACTTACAAATTTTGATGCATAAACATACTAAAGAATTTTTCTTATTTTGTGAGAAAAATTGTTACACGTTCTTCAAATTTATTGCAACGCAGATATAATCTTAAGATTTAAAATATGAGAATTTTTTAAAAGATAAAAAGAGTCATTAACAAATTATCATTTACAGCATAATATTATTTTTACTTATTATATGCTAGTGTTTGAATACAAACCCACCTGGTGGCAAGTGGTGGTCACCTCAGATAGTAAAATAGAACTTACCATTGCCATCTTTGTCCCGTGGCAACGACCCCATCCTTTCCAAGTAGGACGAGAAACAAATCTTCTGGCTAGAGAGGGGCTCGCTGGGACTTACAACTGGGATGTGAATTTCTGCACCCGGACGCGGGCCTAAGTGAAGCTCAAGCTTCTTCGGACGGAGTTGTTCTAGAGATAACATGGAAGACAATTTTTTATTTATTAAATGCACTTTATAATAAGGGATTTTTGGTTATCAGTGATTCAATGTCAGTGACTACTTAAGTATACTATTTCTTTCTAATTCATGCCAGAAGGACTTAACATATTGTACAACAAATTTTGATTAATAAATCAACTAGAAACAAAATTACTTTTAATCTTATTTATTTGTTAATTGATCGAGCAGTGGTGGTGTTGACAGTGTAATGTCGGTTTAAGAATAACCATTAGCCCATACCGTTCCACAGGTGTTATAAGAGGCGACAAACATACAAGCAGCTGGGCAGTATCGTCTAAAATCTAGAAAATAAATATTTTCGGTTGCCAACTCGTCAGCCAAGGATAGCAAATATGACAAATATCCGCCTTATGAGATGATCCACGAGGAAGCCTGTGTTCAGTACTGGAGTTATGTATTGATGGATAGATCTTATTAATACTGGCTAATTTACGCAAAGCAAGTTTAAGTTTACTACTATTATATGCCGAAAAACTTTTTTTACGTGGTAGAGCCATGCTGCAGCTATATTAGTAGTATAGTTGTAGCACGAATGGGTCAGCTCGACCGGGGAAGGACCACGCTCACACAGAATACCAGCGTAAAATAGCAGCTTAACGCTGCTGTGTTTCGTATGGTGAGTGTAGAGAACCGGAGACCCTTTTTACTGGAAACGAGGCATTCCATCTTAGTCCTCACGGGTGACAGCGTATCTGCATTTTGATTCGTAATTGAGGATAGATGTAGATGTCTATGGGCCGCAGCAACCACTTACCATCAGGTGGAATGTGTGCACGTTTGTCACCCTTATTTTATAAAAAATCTTATCCTACAAAAAATCCTTTCAGCTCAAGTTACAAAATCGTTTTCATAGCCTAGAAGACTGCAATGAAGTGGACGATATGAATGACAAACTCGTGGAAACTGTTTATGCAGTCGGAGCTAAGTTTTGCAAAACCCGTCGCAGAAGAACACAAAAACACTCTGATCACACTCTCAATCTCATGGCTGTTAGACAGGAAATGAAGCTGCAGTCTTCAGTAGATTTAACAGCATACATGCAACTGAACACACAGATCTCCAAATGCATGCAACGAGACTTACGCAACTTCAGTACAGCTCGTATTGAAGAAGCGATCGAGCGGAACCAGGGCCACAAAGTCTTTGCCAGAGATGTGTCTGTCAGAAAGAGCCAACTGTCGAAGCTGAAAACCGAATGTGGCAGCATCGTTTCCGGGAGACCTGAGATTTTGAGTGAGATTGGGAGGTTTTATAGGCAACTGTATACGTCATCGATGGAACCATACGCAAGTGTGAGTAACGATCCAAGAGCAAGTCTTATTCGATACTATTCCGATGATATCCCGGACGTCAGTCTGAGCGAGATTAGAATGGCTCTCCAGCACCTTAAAAATGGCAAGGCCCCAAGCGAGGATGGAATTACGGTGGAGCTTCTGAAAGCGGGTGGAAAACCGGTACTTGAAGTCCTTCAGAAGCTTTTTAATTTCGTCCTTCATGGTGGCACTACACGGGAGGCGTGGAGCAGAAGTGCGGTGGTCTTGTTCTTCAAGAAAGCTCTCTTGAAGAACTACAGAACAATTTCCCTTCTGAGCCGCGTCTACGTGCTGTTTTCGAGAGTCATAACGAATCGTCTCCTGCCTCCCGAACAAGCCGGTTTCGGAAAAGTCTTTAGCACCATAGACCACAACATATCTCTCGGCAAATTGTACGGAAGACCGAAGAGTACAATCTGCCGCCTTGCCATCTTGTCTTGCGTTTGTGGACTATGAGAAAGCCTTAAATTCCGTCGAAATTAGGACGGTGCAGCAGTTCCTTCAGCGGTGCCAGGTTTGTACAGTAGGCCTACGATGGTTATCCGTGTACAGAACGAGAGTACGAAACCTATCCAACTGCAGAGAGGTGTAAGACAGGATGATGTTATATCCCCGAAACTTCACCGCTGCATTGGAAGACGTTTCCAAGCTACTGGACTGGAAAGGATACTGTATTAAAATCAATTGCGAGTACATCACTCACCTTCGATTTGCCGACAATATAGTCCTTATGAAAGAATCGCTGGAGGACCTAAGCACTATGCTCAATGACTTCAATAGTGTCTCTCAACGGATAGGTCTTAAGATGAACATGGACAAAACAAAAGTCATGTGTAACATCCATATCACACCTATGAAAGTAGTTGTTGGGAGGACTTACCTCGAAGATGTTCGAGTGTGTTTACCTGGGACAAATAGTCCGACTAGGTAAATCCAACTTCAAGGAATTCAACTGGACACATCTTCTCGTCAGGCATACCTCAAAAAGTCCAACCTTTCTGCTTCGCGTTCGAGATGTGCAATATGGCCATCTTTATATATATTATAATTCTTCCAACCATGTGTATGTGAATGAACTCATAAATCGATTTTGATAAAATTTTGTGTGTATGTGTTTTAGATGATTCGAGAATGGTTTCGATTCAAAGAATTGCACCCGGGATGTGGCGCTGTTCTCGAGATCGTCTAATTTAGTTTTATACCAACTTCAAAAAAGAGAAGGTACTCAATTCAACTGTATGTTTTTTTAATGTGTGTTACCTCATAACTTTGTTCTACGTTTTTTTTTTTTATAGGAGAGGGGACAAACGAGCATGCGGCTCACCTGATGGTAAGTGACTACCGCCGCCCATGAACAACTGCAACACCAGGGGAATCGCAGATGCGTTGCCGGCCTTTTAAAAAGGAGTACGCTCTTTTCTTGAAGGTCCCTAAGTCGTATCGGTCCGGAAAAATCGCTGATGGTAATCGATTCCACAAGGAGGTCGTGCAAGGAAGAAAACATCTTCTAAATCGCACAGTGGTGGACCGCCAATCATCCAGATGGTGTGGATGGTATCGGGAGTTCTGCCGCGATGTGCGTTCGTGAAATTTGGCGGCTGGGATTAATCCGAACAATTCCTCAGAGCACTCCCCATGGTAGATGCGAAAGAAAATGCAAAGGGATGCAACATCTCTTCGCAGTGCCAATGAATCGAGCCGATCGGAAAGGGCTCGGTCGTCGGCGATTCGAGCAGCTCTGCGTTGGATGCGGTCAAGTGGAAGGAGCTGGTACTGGGGAGCCCCTGCCCAGAGATGGGAACAGTATTCCACGTGAGGCCGAACTTGCGCCTTGTAAAGTTGCAGGCGGTGTGCCGGCATGAAATACTGTCCCGCCCTGCTGAGCACGCCAAGTTTTTTAGAGGCCAATTTGGCCTTCCCTTCCAAGTGACCACGAAACTGCACGTCACTCGATATGTCGACTCCGAGGATACCGATACTGGCTGAGGTAAGAAGGGGAGTGCCTTGAAACTGAGTAGATACGACAAAGGGGTTCTTTTTAGCGGTAAACGCGCAAACTTGTGTCTTCTGAGGATTAAACTGGACTAGATTTAGTCGCCCCCAATCCGAGACTTTGCTCAGCAAAGACTCGAACGTGAACCGATTTCGATGTTTTTTATTTGAAAGCTGGTGCTTCTCACGTAGTCCCATTAAATTTGATCAAGGTCTGACTAATAGTTTTCGAGTTATCCTTAATAATATATAATGAAGTCGGTTGTCCAACATTTATAATTTTAATTATTTTTTAACGTTACACTTGAATTTTCTCCTGTATCGTCGAGGCAGTTCACAAACATAAATTTCACAAGGACAAACATCCAAACTCAGAACAAATATTTGTATGCCATACAAATACTTGTTCTGTACGGAATTCAAACTCGCAACCCTTAGCGCTCATTGCTAAGTCTCTGCGCCACGGAGCCAAATGTTTATATGTACATTGCTTTTGTCGTGTGATTGCGCCTGTAAAAGAAACCGTCAACCAATTCTTTTCCGTGAGCGTCGTAAGAGGCAACCAAAGAGTATATAAACCACTACGTTTAGAGACCACTAAGATCAAGGTTTTCGATAGAACACATGGCGATTTAACTATCTCGTTCAACTGATAGGCGTCGGGGAGACGCGGCAAAGGTGCGACACTGATACTGCTATCGTTAATCCTCCTGGCTAAGCATAACAAGGAGAGATAAGCATATAAGGATTGCTACCGTCTGATTTTATAGCAATAGATTTAAAACGTCAATCACATACAGATAACTTGAGATAATGTTAGTGTGAGATACAATTATTACCTTGAACAATTACTCTGTCAGTCTCCAGATTTAGATGATTCTCTAAGTCATCCTCTTTTTCTTCTCCAATCCGCAATAATTCTTGGTCTTCTTCTTCCTTTGAATCTTCTGGCACCTTCGAAACTAAACCGTTCTCCGTTGCACTGTCTTCATTATAGTCGGTCTGAGTTTTTGAGTTAAGATGCAAGCGAACAACATGCGGGCTTAAATGTGTCTTATTAACTTTCAATAACACACACTTTGAGCACACAGTCCACTTGATGGTATGTAGTTGCTGTGGCCCATAGACAACTAGACGTACCCTCGGTTAAGAATCAAAATGTAGATACGTTGCCACCCCGGAGGAGTAAGATGGAATGCCTTTTTTACGAAAAGGGTCTCCGGTTTTTGACACTCACCATACGAAACATAGCAGCATTAAGCTGTTACTTAACGCTGGTATTCTGTAAGAGCATGATCTTTCCATTTTTAAACATTTATCCTATAAGTATAATATAGCTGCAGCGTGGTTCTACCACTTATGTATGTATGAATTCTCTTATGAGTTTATATAAAACATTGAAATAAGTCAATAGTAGAAAACATTTTTAAAAACAACTTTTATTTAAATGTTCTAAAAAGAAAAAAATAAACTTTAAATTAAATCAAACCTATCAATTTAATAACTAGCTGATACCCACGATATCGTTCGCGTTGTTGATATACTAACAAAGTTTTCCTGTGTGAAGGAAAAAACATGAAGGAGACAAAATTTCTTTGTAAAAAATGTTATTCATTCGTTGCTCCGTTTGTCGCTAAAATATATACAGGCTGTTCCAGTAATGGTGGATAATCTGGTACGTACGTGTTCGGTCGGGGGGTAGGTGGCCTCGGTTCCCTAAAAAAAACAATTCAATCCCGAACGGTTCGCGGTCTTTTCCATGTTTTATAAAATTCCGAAATTTCGTACTTATGCTCACATTTGTGGTCATCACGTCCGCAGTTTAATGCCTAGATCGGATTTTTTTCTTTTAATGTGTTCCCTAATAATGATGTTTCTAAATTACCCTTAAAAGTTTTCAACTACCATGGGTAGTATTTTACAAGACGGTACTAAACATAAGTTTAAATTTTTTACTTTATTTAACTGCTAAGTTTGAGCACCTGTGGTGAAAAAATAAACGTATAGGATCTGTGTGGCCAACCATTTAAAAAGTTTGCCTATATCATAAAGATTCTAAAACATTAGCATACCATGTACTTAATGTTATTACTTACTGAGCTATAGCCGCGAACCGTTCGGGACAGAATTTTCTTTTAGGGAACTCAGGCCACCTCCCCTCCGACCGAACACGTACGTACCAGATTATCCACCATTATTGGGACAGCCTGTATATTATCTGGGTTAGTACCATGTGAAAATCCAGTATAAAAATAGTTGTTTCTTAAAACATTAATAACTTTATATTAAATTAAGATATCGCAATAATTTCTTTTAGATATGGGACAAGTGTCTAAGAAATAAAACTTGGAAAACCTAATTCAAATCTATCTAGTAGTTTTTCCATGATGCTCGCACAACTGTAAAGCTCTATCATTTTATTTACATGCAATTTATATGATATGAAAGATTTTCACGAGGTTTACGTGTACAAGTTGTTGGTTTATTAGTGTGTGTGTGTGTGTGTGTGTGTGTGTGTGTGTGTGTGTGTGTGTGTGTGCGTGCGTGCGTGTGTGTGCGCGTGCGTGCGTGCGTGTGTGTGTATGTGTATGTGTGTGCGCGCGTGCGATGTGTGCGTGCGTGAGTGCGTGCGTGCGTGCGTGAGTGCGTGCGTGCGTGCGTGAGTGCGTGCGTGCGTGCGTGAGTGCGTGCGTGCGTGCGTGAGTGCGTGCGTGCGTGCGTACGTGTGTGCAGGTTTGCGCGAGTGCAAAGGATACTGTGCGCCAGCGGCGACGCAGCGCGGCGAGCAGCGCGCGCAGACGCGTGCGCGGCGGCAGCGCGGCGGCGGCGCGCGGGTTATGCGCGGCGGCCTGCACGCGCGCCCAGCCCGCCGCGCACCGCGCCCGCAGCGCCACAACCAGCCGCGAGCACACGCGCGCGCCGCACGCACGCTCTGCACGCACCATCACAAACGTTACTTACGTTACCACCAACTGCCATCACGTCACGACACCGCGCTTCTATACTATGCGAGACGCGGAGCGCCATGTCTCACGTCGTGAGAACGAGCACATTACTCGTACATATCTTCTTAATAACTGGCTTTACGGCTCTGGGATCTAGCCCTTCTGAGCCTGAAGTTACAATATATTATAATAATTATCCTTCATAGTATACTGCTTCACAATATGTTGATGCGTCACATTGTGCAGCCCTTGGGAGATTTTGACGGCAACTTGAGCCAGCAGATAGCTGACGGTTGGCGATGGTATCTCAAAACGCCTAAGTAGACAGACACCTTATTTTGAGAATTACATCACCATCAGAGCACTCGTTTCACAGTTTCCATTAATAGTTCACATACGCAGACACTTAATACACAAAATTGCACCACTTTTACATATCAAAGTCCACTTCAAACCATTATTTAAACAATAATACAGGAGCAGCCAACCGCCGCCGGTCAAGTTCCCGCCAAAACTTTACTCGTACATAACGTTCATAACGTTCTGCCGTGAATCGAAACGCAGCAGTGACAAATAGCCCGGGCTTATCAAAAATTTGAATTTTGAACGGACGAATAATCGGGAATAACAGCTCTAGACTTCAACATACAACATCATAGTGCCGGGCGCACGTACCTGCGATGTGGTTAAGGCGGCGCAGCGCGCGGCACATGGGCGTGCGCACGCGCAACGTGCGGCCGCGCGCGCGCACCGCCATGCTGCCGCCGCGCACCATCTCGCCGAGCCGTGCGCACGTCTTCTCGTTCACGGACACGAGCTTACGCCGCAGCTCGCCGTAGTTTATCAACGCGTATAGCTCCTGCGCAACTTTCTTCACATCTGAACACAGGAGTGAAAGTTCAAAATTTTGCACCGTTTCTGAAGTGAAACTTCTTTACGGACGTAGTGAAGAAATTTAATACGGATACAAAAAACGTCACGTTTTCTTCTAACGTTTCCCGGGGCTGCATGATGCATCAACCTACTCATGGAAAGGAGTTTCACTGCGTACGTTACATACACAGTTACACGCACATTTTTTTTATGAAAGAGGAGGCAAACGAGCACACAACTCAAGTGCGGGTAGCTGGCCCATGAAGATCTGCAACAGCAGGAGAATTGCAAGGACGTTCCCAGCCTCTAACGGTGGTAGAGCCAAGCAGCAGCTTTTGCTGTTGCACGTATGGGCCGGCTCGAACCGGGTTACTACCACGACCTCATAGAATACCGGCGTGAAGTGGAAGCTCTACTTCTGCGTTTCGTCTGGTGAGTGCAAGTGACCGGTGGTCCGATTCACCCCCCTTCCTCTCCATAAACATGGTAGCGGAATTAAATCATAGACTACCCCAGAAGGGTACCAGCACCCCTGGAGAATCCCTCACTGAGCATCTTGACCATGCTACTCCACTCCTGAGCGTGGTTGCTCAGGCTGCCCCGCGAATTGGGAGGGGGGGGGGCAAATTCCGCTCCACACAAAAACTGATCGGGGCAAACTGAGCAACAAGCCAAGGCGACCACCGCCACGCTATGCGTGTATTTCTGCAACATCAGGGGACTTCTCTCGAACCTAAACGCCGTCCACTACCATCTCGAGACGGCGAAGCTGGCGTTGCACTTTCTGATCGAGACGCAGGTGTCCTCTACGGCTGATACTGCGTATCTCTCCTACCCGGGATACAAATTGGAGCTCTCCTTTGTCCCTCGGGCTGGAGTTTGCGTATACGTCAGAGAGGACATCTGTTCTCGACGCCTCGGCAGTCTTGAAAGTTCGGACCTGTCCATCCTTTGGTTACGCGTAGACAGCGACGACCATCCGCACGACTACGGGTGCCTCTATAGGTCCCATAGCGGTAATGCCGAAACAGACTGACTCATCGACCACGTCCAAATGGCTACAGATTCCTTGCTACAACAGGTCCCATCCGCAAACATCGTGATCCTTGGCGATTTTTACGCCCACCACGGCGAATGGCCCGCTTCACGTTTAACCGATCATGCGGGGAGATCTGTTTATGACTTTGCCTTGGCATATGGTCTGACACAACTGGTTACTTCGCCTACGCGGATTCCAGATGTGGAGAACGAGTTGCCACCGTGTTTGGAATTACAGGTCGGCGGATTGGGACGGAATGCGGTCTCTCTTTGCATCCTACCCAGGGCGGGTTTGCTTCTCGCCGAATGATCCCAGCGCTGTTGCTGACTCTCTCACTGATGTGGTGCTGCAGGGAATGGAACTATTTATTCCATAATCTATGGTACCCATCGGAGGCAGATCTCAGCCTTGGTTTGGTCGCTCCTGTAAGAATGCATTACGCAGTAAGCAGGAGTGCTATCAGGCCTGGGCTGAGGTTTCGGCGGCTCGGGATGTAAACATCAGCATGCTTAAAACGAAGTATAACTTCGCCTCCAGGTCCTTCAAAAGAGTTACTGCCAAGGTAAAGTCAGAGCACATAGGCAGAATTGGCGAGAAAGTAGTTCGCCTTCCTTCGGGAACCCGTGCATTCTGGTCTCTCGCCAAGGCTGTCCAAGGGAATTTCTGTAAGCCATCACTACCATCTCTGCACTGGGAGGACGACTCACTGGCCCACGGCGCAAAAGAGAAATCCGACCTTTTAGGTTCCCTTTTTGCGTACAACTCGACTCTTGATGACGGGGGGAACACACCGCCGACCACCCCGCGGTGTGAGTGCTCCATGTCAGATGTGCGGATCTCACAGTGATCGGTCCGCAAAGCACTCCTCTCCCTGGATATCCACAAGTCGAGTGGGCCTGACGGAATCCCACCAATTGTGCTTAGGACGTGTGCTCCGGAGTAGGTACCGGTTCTAACGCGTCTTTTCCGGTACTCCTACTCCAAGGCGTAGTCCCGAATTCATGGAAGACAGCTTTGGTCCACCAGATCCCTAAAAAAAGCGACCGCTCAGACCCGTCCAACTACAGGGCTATCGCCATCACCTCTTTGTTCTCCAAAATAATGGAATCCATTATAAACTGCCAGCTCATGAGGTACCTTGAGGACCACCAGCTGATTAGTGACCGCCAGTACGGTTTTCGTCGGGGTCGATCAGCTGTTGATCTTCTAGTCTATCTGACTCATAGATGGGCGGAGGCAGTAGAGTCCAAGGGGGCGACATTGGCCGTTAGTTTGGACATAGCGAAAGCCTTCGATCGGATCTGGCACAAAGCGCTTCTTTCGAAGATTCCTTCTTATGGGCTTCCCGAAAAATTGTGCAAATGGATCACCAGTTTCCTTGCTGATCGGAGCATCCAGGTCGTAGCAGACGGTGCATGCTCTGATTTCAAGACTATCAACGCTGGTGTTCCACAAGGCTGCGTGCTATCACCAACGCTGTTTGTCCTGCATATCAATGATATGTTGCAAACTGGTAGCATTCATTGCTATGCGGACGACAGCACTGGTGATGCCTTATATACCGGCCGTGCCAATATTTCTCGGGAAAACGTCGCCGAGTACCGGGACAAACTTGTGTCTGAGGTCGAGTCTTTGCTTAACAAAGTCTCGGATTGGGGGCGACTAAATCTAGTCCAGTTCAATCCCCAGAAGACACAAGTTTGCGCGTTTACCGCTAAGAAGAACCCCTTTGTCGTATCTCCTCAGTTTCAAGGCACTCCCCTTCTTGCCTCAGCCAGTATCGGAATCCTTGGCGTCGACATATCGAGTGACGTGCAGTTTCGTGATCACTTGGAAGAGAAGGCCAAGGCGCTGCGAAAAGATGTTGCATGTCTTTGCATTTTCTTTCGCATTTACCACGGGGAGTGCTCTGAGGAATTGTTCGGATTAATCCCAGCTGCCAAATTTCACGAACGCACATCGCGACAGAACTCCCGATACCATCCACACCATCTGAATGATTGGCGGTCAACCACTGTGCGATTTAGAAGATGTTTTCTTCGTCGCACAACTATCTTGTGGAATAGTTTACCACCAGCGATTTTTCCGGACCGATACGACTTAGGGACCTTCAAGAAAAGAGCCTACTCCTTTTTAAAAGACCGGCAACACATCTGCGATTCCCCTGGTTCGCCTGGTGTTGTGGTTGTTCATGGGCGGCGGTAGTCATTTACCATCAGGTGAGGCGCATGCTTGTTTGCCCCCTTTCCTATAAAAAAAAAAGCCTTTTAGAAAGGGTTAGGCTCTTTCCTGAAAAGTCCCTAAAGCTGAACACACATTTGTCCGCACCGTACGTGCCGTACGCGCCGAGTTTTACTGATGGCCTCGCACATTTGCCCGTACGCATCTTCCGCGCCGTATGCAAATCTTTTGTTTTACCAACAACTTTTGTAGTTTTTTCCAACCACTGCTGTGAAACGGTACAGTGAAATTAATCGCTCGAAATCACTATGGAAAGAAATATTGTAATAGTCTGCTTATCGACAGAGGAAGAAGAAAATAAAATTCGAGGAAAAAGAAGATTCTGGATTCATAATTAATAAAAAATAAGGTTTAATTTAAAAAGGTCATTGTAAGGAGAATATGAAAGGGATATACTTTATTTAAAGACTTATTAGATGATGCTGAACCATTTTTTAGATATTAGCATTTAAGATACAAGAAATTTCAAGAATTGCTACATATACTAAAACCATATCTTTCTATGGAAAACTCAAGATTTAGAAGGCCAATTGAACTAAAAAAAAGACTTGTTGTATGTTTGAGGTAAGTATTTTTATTGATAATCAACTAATCAGGTATAATTGGGTAAAATAAATTTAACTATTTTTATTAGTTCAGTATTTAAATAATTTATCACTAAGTATTCATATTGATAATCGATGCGAAATAAATTCTAATTATGTATCATTAATTACAATTTAATTAAAAGTTATAAAATATACAAAAATTATCACGTAAGTCGAAACCATCAGTTATAGTGGAAAATCCACTAAGTTGGCAACATTGGACAACACGCACGCGCAGAGTGCGCCGCTTTATATGACGTCATCAGCATGCCTCCTTCAATATTCGGATACCTACCGCATTTTATAAAATTCGGCGCGTACGGTGAGGGTGTAATGTGCGAGGTTTCATATGATTTCATATAACAAATTTCAAAATTCGGCGCGTACGGCGCGGACAAATGTGCGTTCAGCTTAAGTCGGAACGTTCGTACTGCAATCTGCACACCTTACATTAGTCATATGTGTAATAAATACTAATAGTGGGTCAACTCCTTTGTTATACCGCAAAATACCTACAAAGCTGTCTCGACGTCAAGTCGCTAAAAATATGCAAGGGTTGTCACAAAACATTTCCTTAGATAATAATATCATAACATTATATTTGATCAGTATTCCTCGTAATAACTGATTTTTTTACACAAAGATACAAACTAATTACTATTTTACAAAATTAGTTGCGTTCCGCAGCTTTACCTGATTCGTCGTGATGGAAACAAAGGCTTGAGTTGGTTGGTGCCTACCTAATTTTACTAAATTTTATCTATATAGTATCTTAGATGGTGGTTCGATGGTTCGATCACGCCTCTTTCCAGTAGGGGTAGGTAGAGAGCACTTTTTTCCACTTGCTACGATTCTTACATAATTGTTTCGCTTCGTTCACTTTCATTATTCTCTTCATACATGCTCTACGGTTTAGGGTGCTCTTGACCTGGCCTTTTTTCAAGACGTTCCTGATTCGTTCTTGAAAAAAGGATTCTTGGATTTTGGTGAGTGATGTACTCGTCATTGATGTTAATACCGTATCCTTTCCAGTGTAGTAGCTTGAAAACGTCTTTCAATGCAGCGGTGAAGAGTTTCGGGGATATAATATCACCCTGTCTTATACTTCTCTGTAGTTGGATAGGTTTCGTACTCTGGTT